CAGGTCACGATCTCACGGTTCGTGGGTTTATGCCCCGCATCGGGCTCTGTGCTGACAGCTAGCTCAGAGTCTGGAGCGTGTTTCAGATTCTGTGTCACCCTCTCTCTCTGACCCTCCCCTTCATGCTGTCTCTCTCAGAAATAAATGAAACATTAAAAAATTAAAATAAATAAAAGCAATAAAAAGAGAATGTTATGAGCACTTATACGCCAGTTAAATGGGCAATCTGGAAGAAATGGACAAATTCCAAGAAACATATAAACTACCAAAACTGAAACAGGAAGAAATAGAAAATTTGAACAGACCCATAACCAGTAAAGAAATCGAATTAGTAATAAAAATATCTTCCAAAGATCAAGAGTCCAGGGCCAGATGGCTTTCCAGGAGAATTCTACCAAACATTTAAAGAAGAGTTAACACCTATTCTCTTGAAGCTGTTCCAAGAAATAAAAAGGGAGGAAAACTTCCAAACTCTGTCTATGAAGCCAGCGTTACCTTGATTCCAAAACCAGACAAAGACCCCACTAAAAAGGAGAACTATAGGCCAATTTCCCTGATGAACATGGATGCAAAAATCCTCAACAAGATACTAGCCAACTGGATCCAACAATACATTAAGAAAATTATTCACCACGACTAAGTGGAACTTATACCTGGGATGCAGGGCTGGTTCAATATTTGCAAAACAATCAATCATTCATCACATCAATAAAAGAAAGGACAAGAATCACATGGTCCTCTCAATAGATTCAGAGAAAGCATTTCACAAAATATAGCATCCTTTTGTGATAAAAACCCTCAAGAAAGTAGTGATAGAAAGATCATACCTCAAGATCATAAAAGCCATATGTAAAAGACCCACTGCTAATGTCATCCTCAATGGGGAAAAACTGAGAGCTTTCCCCCTAAGGTCAAGAACAAGACAAGGCTGTCCACTCTTGCCACTGTTATTCAACATAGCATTGGAAGACTTAGCCTCAGCAATGAGACAACACAAAGAAATAAAAGGCATCCAAATCGGCCAGGAGGTCAAATTTTCACTCTTTGCAGAAGACATGATTCGCTATATGGAAAACCCAAAAGATTCTACCAAAAAACTGGAATTCGGCAAAGTGACAAGATACAAAATCATTGTACAGAAAATGGTGCATCCCTGTACACCAACAGTGAAGCAACAGAAAGAGAAATCAAGGAATCGATCCCATTTACAATTGCACCATAAACCATATAATACCTAGGAATAAACATGACCAAAGTGGTGAAAAATTTACACACTGAAAACTATAGAAAGCTTATGAAAGAAATTGAAAAAGATACACAAAAATGGAAAAATATTCCATGCTCCTGGATAGAAAGAACAAATATTGTTAAAATGTTGATATTACCCAAATCAATCTACATATTCAATGCAATCCCTATCAAAATAACACCAGCATTCTCCACAGAGGTAGAACAAACAATCCTAAAATTTGTAGAGAACCAGAAAAGACCCCGAATAGTCAAAGCAATCTTGAAAAAAAAAAAAAAAGTAGGAGGCATCACAATCCTGGACTTCAAGCTGTATTACAAAGCTGTAATCATCAAGACAGTATGGTACTGGCACAAGAATAGACACTCGGACCAATGGAACAGAATAGAGAACCCAGTAATGGACCCACAAACATATGGCCAACATATCTTTGACAAAGCAGGAAAGAACATTCAGACAGTCTCTTCAGCAAGTGGTGCTGGGAAAACTGGAGAGCAACATGCAGAAAAATGAACCTGGACCACTTTCTTACACCAGACACAAAGAGAAGCTCAAAAAAGATGAAAGATCTAAATGTAAGACAGGAAGCCATCAAAATCCTGCAGGAGAAAGCAGGTAAGAACTTCTTTGGCCTCGGCCGCAGCAACTTACTCAATATGTCTCTGGAGGGAGGCAAGGGAAACAGAAGCAAAAATGAACTAATGGGACCTCATCAAAATGAAAAGCTTCTGCACAGCAAAGGAAATAATCAGTAAAACTAAAATGCAATCGACAGAATGGGAGAAGAGATTTGCAAATGACATATCAGATAAAGGGTTAGTATCCAAAATCTATAAAGAACTTATCAAACTCAACACCCAAAAAAACTAGATAACCCAGTGACAAAATAGACAAAAGACATGAATAGACACTTTTCCAAAGAAGAGATCCAGATGGCCAACAGACACATGAAAGATGCTCGTCACTCATCATCGGGGAAATACAAATCAAATTCACAATGAGATACCACCTCACACCCGGCAGAATGGCTAACATTAACAACTGAGGCAACAGATGCCAGTGAGAATGTAGAGGAAGAGGATCTCTTTTGCACTGCTGGTAGAAATGCAAACTGGCGCAGCCATTCTGGAAAACAGTATGGAGGTTCCTCAAAAACAATTAAAAATTGGGGCGCCTGGGTGGCTTAGTCGGTTAAGCGTCCGACTTTCGCTTAGGTCATGATCTCGCGGTTCGTGGTTTCGAGCCCCGCGTCGTGCTCTGTGCTGACTGCCAGCTCAGAACCTGGAGCCTATTTCAGAGTCTGTGACTCCCTCTCTCTCTGACCCTCCCCTGCTCACGCTCTCTCTCTCTTAGAAATAAATAAAAATATTTTTTAAAAAAATTAAAAGTTGAACTGCCCTACGACCCAGCAATTGCACTAGACATTTATCCAAGGGATACGGGTATGCTATTTCAAAGGGACACATGCACCCTTTATGTGCTGCTGTTTATAGCAGCACTATCAACCATAGCCAGAGTATGGAAAGAGCCCAAATATCCATTGATGGATGAATGGATAAAGATATGGTTTGTATATATATATATGGAAGTATTACGTAGCAATCAAAAAGAATAAAATCTTGCCATTTGCAACTATGTGGATGGAACTGGAGTGTATTATGCTAAGTGAAATTAGTCAGAGAAAGACAAATATATGACATCACTCATATGAGGACTTTAAGATACAACAGATGAACCTAAGAGAAGGGAAGCAAAAATAATAAAATGGAGGGGAACAAAAACATAAGACTCTTAAATATAGAGAGCAAACAGAGGGTTACTAGAGGGATTTTGGGAGAGTGGATGGGCTAAATGGGTAAGGGGCATTAAGGAATCTACTCCTTAAATCATAATTACATTATATGCTAACTAACTTGGATGTAATTTAAAAAAAAATAAACTCAGGAAAAAAAAAACTCACCAACAATCTTAGAGTACCTGGGTGGCTCAATTGCTTGGATTCTTGATTTCAGATCAGATCATGATCCCACAGTAGTGCAATCTATCCCTGTATCTGGCTCTGCTGCTGAATGTGGATACTGCTCAAGATTCTCTTTCTCCTTCTGCCCCTTTACCCTGCTTGTGCTCACTCTCTAAAACAAAACAAATTCGCCCCCACTCCTAAAAAACTAAAACAAAATTAATTGCATTATCATTGGAAAAAAGGGATCTATAGGAACTCTACAATCTTTTCAACTTTTCTAGGAAGTGGAAAACTAGTTCAAAAATTTTTTAATTTAAAAATCAAAATATGGTTCTATCGATGACAAACCTGTCAAAATAACCAAAGTGAAAAAGACAATGTAACATAATAGCAAGATAACAGACAGACATGTTGTCACAACTTCTGTGTAAAACCATCTAGTACTACTGAATAAATGTGACTGGGTATATTCCCTATGACCCAAAAATTGCACTCCTAAAATATCAACCCAACAAAAACACGTACAACTGTGAACTAAAACATGTACAAGAATGTTCATAGCAGGTAAAATACCCCAGCTATAGACAACTCAAAGACCCAGGACAGCTGAATGAATAAATTGTGTGTATTCATACAACAGAAAGCTATGTATCAATGAGAATAAAATTCGGCAAAAGAATATAGATGAATATCACAAATACAGCGTTGAGGAGAAGCCAGGTATAAATGATAACATATAATGTATAGTAGTGCAAATAACTCAGTAAACATACTAAAAACCACTGAATTTCATACTTCAAATAGGTGAACTTTATGGCGTGTAAACTATATCTCAGTGAAGCTCTTAAAAATGCATGATTCCAAGGGGCGCCTGGGTGGCTCAGTTGGTTAAGCGGCTGAGTTCACTCAGGTCATGATCTCGTGGTTAGGGAGTTAGGGAGTCCCAAATCGGGCTCTGCGCCTACAGGTCAGAGCCTGGAGCCTGCTTCGGTTCTGTCTCCCTCTCTCTCTGACCCTCCGCTGCTCACGCTGTCTCTCTCTCTCTCTCTCAGAAATAAATAAAACATAAAAAAAAAAAAAAAACTAAGTAGGAATGCATGATTACAGTGTCACCCGGCTGGCTCAGTGGGTGGAGCATGCAACACAGGACCCCGGGGTTGTAAGTTTGAACCCCATAATGGGTGAAGAGATTACTTAACAATGAAATCTTTTTAAAAAACGCCTGATTCCATAAGAGTACATATATTCTGGTGGCAGGAATTAGACTGATTAGTGAGTGAAAGGAAGCAGTAAGGAGGATTCTTAGTGCTGATAATGTTCTAGTTCTTGACCCGTGTGTGCAGCAGTTAATAGAGATGTATTCTACCTTGTCAGAAATTCACTGGATTGTACATTTTTTAACACCTATCTTAGATGGAAACAGTGTGTTGGGAAAGTACAGAATTTCAAAGATTCAACCATTCACAATTTCGGTGGGAAGATTCATTTCAGACCCTGTGTCAGGAAATGGTAGCTTAAGAGACTGGATGACCTACAAATGCAACTTAAAGTTTTTATCTAATAGGTAAAAATAATAAACGCATCTATTTCCATGTACTCCTGTATAATTCAACTTTTAAATTATACATAAAGGTTTTTGTTTTTAACCTGACATGAATTATATTGGTTCATGACAGCTGCCATTTGTGAGTAAAACAACCTCCCTCACAAGACACATAGCAAGAAACACTGTAAACATGGTGGCTTAAAACGTTAGGCATTTATTTTTCTCAAGTAAAACGCCTTGGAGATACTAAAAGTTTTTTCCTTTCAGTGTCAAGTGGTCACACATCTATGGGATGAATAAAGAATTTACCAGTCATTACATAACTTAGCTTTCTCCCACAGATTATTCAAAGGCTTTGTCCCATTCTTTACATACAGTTTTTCTCTGCATTTGCTTGTATGCCATAAAGATTGAGAGTTCATGGAGAACATTATCTCACAGGGACATTGCTAGGAGTTTTGTCCAGCATGAGTGCTCTCACGATGCTTCCGAAGGGTTATGAGCTTACTGAAAGCGTATCCACAGACATTGCATTGATAGGGTTTTTCGCCAGTATGTACTCTCTTATGCACAGTAAGGTTACCCCTTACACTGAAGGTTTTCCCACACTGATCACACTCATAGGGTTTCTCTCCAGTGTGAGTTCTCATGTGTATTTTAAGGGCTACATTCCTCCTAAAAGGTTTCCCACACTCACCACACTTGAAGGGTATCTTTTCCCTGATGTGCTTTTTCATATGTCTCCTATGAGATAAGACACCACTGAAGGCTTTCCCACATTCCTTACACTCATATTGTTTAGTCCTTGTGTGAATTTTTTTGTGCAAAATGAGGAAATAATTCACTCTGAAGGTTTTCCCACACTGAGGACATGCAAAGGGTTTCTCTCCAGTGTGAATTCTCATGTGTTCTTTCAGGCACGAGTGGTCCCTGAAGGCTTTCCCACAGTCACTGCACGTACATGGTTTCTCTCCAGCATGCATCTTCTTGTGCACCACGAGATTACAGCTCATCCTAAAAGCCTTCCCACACTGATCACACTTGTAAGGTTTCTCTCCAGTATGTATCCTCAGGTGGGTCTTCAGGTATGACTGACTACTTAGTCCTTTTCCGCAGACATTACACTCAACGGATTTCTCTCCAGTGTGGACTCTCTCGTGTCTTTTAAGGTATGGGAGAATACTGAAGGTTTTTCCACAATCATTGCAGGCATAGGGCTTCTCTCCTGTATGTAATACCTTGTGAATTTTAAGCCTAGACCTTCGACTGAATGCTTTGTTGCACTGATCACACTTGTAGGGTTTGTTTCTTAAATGAATCTCTTCATGTTGTCTAAGAAGTGAACTATCTCTGAAGGTTTTTCTACAGTCGCGGCATCCATAGGGCTTCTCCCCAGAGTGAATTCTCTTGTGTCGGTTAAGATAAGAGTTTGAACTGTAGGCTTTCCCACATTGGTTACATTTAAAAGGTTTTTCTCCACTGTGGGTTCTCATGTGCAATGTCATGGATGAGTGGTTCTGTAACACTTTACCACACTGGCTACATTGAACAGATTTCTCTCTAGTGTCAGTTTTTTCATGCTTCTTAAGCCAGGAGATTGAATTTAAGACTTTGCCAGAGTCATTGAATTCATAGCATTTCTCTCTTGTATGTTTTCTCTCACGTGCACCTAAGAAAGAACTCCTGGTGAAGGTATTTTTATCTTTTTTACATTCATAGGATTTTCCCCCAGAATGAACACTCTCATGTGAGTTAAGATGAGAACAATTTCTGAGGGGTTTCCCAGGGTGAAGGCGTTGATGGGGTTTCTCTGTGGAATGAATTCGCTGATTCTGAGCAATGCTAGATTTCTTGCGCAAGGCAATTTTATTCTGTTCAATGGATCCGCCTCCATGAGTTTGCTCCTATTGGTTAAAATAAGTTGTGGTCACAAGATTTATCACATTAATCATATTGATTGAGAATCCCCCACACACACATAAATTCTGACATACACTTTATTAGAATAAGACTTTACTTAATATTTTCTTAGTGAATATACACAGCTACTGTCTGAGTTTATCAGCATGAATAAGATGAATGTTATACCACATGGCTCCCAACAGGGTCTCTTTAGAATTTAACATATAATTGCTTTGGAGGGAATTATGTTTTAAATATTTAATGTCTAACTTGCATTATGAATATATTTACTTTGGGGATTCTCTAAAACCATTTCTGGAGCTAGGATGTGAGTTTCCTTCTAACTCATGATTTATAGAATTTTCCATTTCCTATTGTTGAAACAAGAGCCTCAAATGACCCCTTAGTTCACAAGTCCCTTTTCTATTATATGGAATTCTGGACTTCCAATAGAGAGCAAGAAATTCTCCGAGGACTCTTACCTTCTTGCCATGGAGTGCTTCTTTCTCCAAAACATCTTGTTTATGTTGTGATTGTTTGGTTTTAGGGAGAACCATCCCATCTAAGCAAATTGGGGGGAAAGTAAGTTTTGGGAAAGGAGTGGTGACAATATGTTGGCAAAAGCGGTAAACCCCAAGCCCAATCTGAGACAAATCGGATACAACCTAGAATATGAAATGATGGAATGTTTAGGACAAAATTAAGGCCTGTAAGTGCTTCTCTTCAAATAGACCCTAACCTTAGGAAGACAATGTGCAAGAAAAATGCATTCTTAATCAAAGGAATGGTACTTACATGCCTCAGTGTTTTGTATAATTTACTGAGGAATGGTTCTATCATGATTGAAAATTATGTTAACAGGCAAAGACCAAAGCTGTATGTGCAAAATGGGAAGAAGTAGACACCGATTCTAAATGTAAATATTAAAAGGCAAGACAGGTCTTTCTTTCAGAACATAAGTATAAAAGCCAAAGACTAGAGAATACTGAAGCTATACAAATAAGCCCACCAAATAGTCTCTGCTTTCTCCTCAAATTTAAAGGGTATTTGGTTTAAGTTTCCTGTTTGACTTTTCATAATGTACCTCCCTCTCAGCCCCACCAGATCTGGTACAAAACATTCATATACACCCACTGCTCACTTGAACAAGTACCTTGGTGATTTCTTGTCTCTGTTTTCAATTCGTCTTCCTGCTCCAATTGGGTGATCAGAGCAGGTTTGCTGAGCTGCTTTTCTATAACAGGAAACAATGCACATGAGCGACCCATGCGGTGTACAACAAAAGCCACCACCAAACGGTGGCAACAATATCATCTCTGAGGCTCTGAAGATAGAGAAGTGTAACTTCAGGAGCAGCAAAATGATTACCACAAATTTCTAACAGACAAAGTAAAAGTCAAACACTTGGGAGATCAACTTTCAGAATGACAGAATGAGGATTCTGTTTAGCTCATCTCTCCCACTAAAACAACAAAAGATGGGCAAAACAAATAGAATCCATTCAGAACTCTAGAAATTAACCAAACCTAAAGAACTAATGGAAAATTGTCTATCCAAGAAAAAAAAAATCAATGAACCCTGGTAAGAGAAAATGGTCTGACATTTTAACCAGATTATTTCTATTCTTCCTCTGTCCTCAGCTCCATGACATGATGGTTAAAAACCACCAGCCTTGCAGTCAACAAAGAGGTCTGGCTCTGTTAAAAGAATCAGCCCCAGAATTCAGTCAATTATTATTTTTTCTATGCTTGCAGCTCCCTAGAAAACCTATGTCCTTGGGGTATTGTGACTATTGCATTTTAGTCAGAGCTCAGCAGAAAATAAAACTCTTACCCTCAATGCATTACCGTAGGGAATTTGAAAAACTCCAATAAGTTCCTGGGAATCCAAAATTATGTGTATGACCAAGGCTATGGACATGCCCGGGAATGATCTAGGAATGGATAATATCCAAGTCACTTAGCTTTGGTTGAGAGAGAGAGAGAGTGCAAGCAGGGGAGGAACAAAGAGGGGGAGGGAGACAGAATCTGAAGCAGGCTCCAGGCTCCAAGCTGTCAGCACAGAGCCCAGTGCAGGGCTCGAACCCACAAACCACAAGATCATGACCTGAGCTGAAGTCAGGTGCTTAACCAACTGAGCCACCCAGGTGCCCCATAAAATAAAACCTACCTTATAATCTATCTTAAAGGCATGATTTCTTACATAGATCTACTTAGTAAGACATAGGCAAGGCATTTAAAAAAGCATTACTAATCATTGTTGGACTACTAAATTATAATGACCAGGAAACCAGGCTTAAAATTAAAATAAGTGCTTTTTAATGAGAAAAGTTAGGAGAACCTGTAGCCAACACTGCAGAGATTACAGCATCTGTGGAATTCAGCTAAAAAAGTATCTAAACAAATAAGCACCAATAACAAAACAATATAGCTTGATTGGAGAGGCAGTTCATACAACAGTTGGTAAAATATATTATCTAAAATATCATTTTCATGAAAAAATTGAGACAAAGAAACAAGAAAGTATACCAAACATGCAAGGGTAAGAAAAGCAGCCAAAAGAAAATGTCCCTTAAAAGGCCCGCATTTTAGATTTAGTAGGAAAAGATTTAAAATCATCTATTAAATGGCACAAAAACAGACACATAGACCAATGGAATAGAACAGAGAACTCAGAATTGGACCCACAAATGTACGACCAACTAATCTTTGACAAAGCAGGAAAGAGTATCCAATGGAAAAAAGACAGCCTCTTTAACAGATGGTGCTGGGAGAACTGGACAGCAACATCCAGAAGAATGAAACTAGATCATTTTCTCACACCATACACAAAAATAAACCCAAAATGGATAAAGGACCTGAACGTGAGACAGGAAACCATCAAAACCCTAGAGGAGAAAGCAGGAAACAACCTCCTTGACCTCCACCTCAGCAATTTCTTACTTGACAAAACCCCAAAGCAAGGGAATCAAGAGCAAAAATGAACTATTGGGACCTCATCAAGATTAAAAGCTTCTGCACGGCAAAGGAAACAATCCATAAAACTAATAGGCAACTGACGGAATGGGAAAAGATAGTCGCAAATGACATATCAGATAAAGGGCTAGTATCCAAAATCTATAAGGAACTCACCAAACTCCATACCCAAAAAACAAATAATACAGTGAAGAAATGGGCAGGAGACATGAACAGACACTTCTCCAAAGAGGACATCCAGATGGCCAACAGACACATGAAACGATGCTCAGCGTCCCTCCTCATCAGGGAAATACAAATCAAAACCACACTGAGATACTACCTCACGCCTCTCAGAGTGGCTAAAATGAATGAATCAGGAGACAATAGATGCTGGGAAGGATGTGGAGAAACAGGCACCCTCCTACATTGTTGACGGGAATGTAAACTGATGCAGCCCCTCTAGAAAACAGTGTGGAGGTTCCTCCAAAAACTAACAATAGAACTCCCCTATGATGCAGCAATAGCACTGCTAGGAATTTACCCAAGGGATACAGGAGTGCTGATGCATAGGGGCCCATGTACCCCAATGTTCATAGCAGTACTCTCAACAATAGCTAAAACAGGGTAAAGGCCTAAGTGTCCATCAATGGACAAATGGATCAAGAAGATGTGGTTTATCTGTACGATGGAATACTACATGGCAATGAGAAAGAATGAAATCTGGCCTTGTGTAGCAACGTGGATGGACCTTGAGGATGTTATGCTGAGCAAAATAAGTCAGGCAGAGAAGGACAGATACCATATGTTTGCACATATAGAAGGGTTAGGAGGAACTTAACGGAGGACCATGGGGGAGGAGAAGGGGAAAAATAGTTGGGGAGAGGGAGGGAGGCAAACAATGAGACTCTTGAATGCTGAGAACAAACTGAGGAGAGGGGAAGGGGGTGATGGGCATGGGAGAGGCACTTGTTGGGATGAGCACTAAGTGTTATATGGAAACCAACTTGAGAATAAACTATTTTAAAAAAATCATCTATTCTAAGTAAACTAAATGGACAATAAACGATAACAAACGGATGTCCAATCTGGCCATTTATAGTCAATATTGCATTGGGAGTTCTATCCAGGGCAACTAGGCAAGGAAAAATATAAAGAAGAAAGGAAAGAAGAAAGGCCAATTCTATTCACAGATGTCATGAGCTTATTAAGTAGAAAATCTGAAAGAATCCACAAAAACACTATTAGGTTACAAGATAAAAGATGATATACAATATATCAATTTTATTTCTATATACTAGCAATGACTATCATGAAAATGAAATCAAGAAAATAATTCCATTGATAATAGCATCAGAAAGAAAATGCTTAGGGATAAATTTCACATAAGAAGTTTAAGACTTAGGCATTGAGAATTACAATACATTGTTAACAGAACTTAAAGATCTCTATGGGTAGAAAATATAAAAATGACCTATCAGAGATGAAGAACCCAATAACTTAAATTAAAAATACAGCCGCCTGGGTGGCTCAGTCAGTTTAGCGTCCAACTTCAGCTCAGGTCTCAATATCATGGTTCGTGGGTTCGAGCCCCATATCGAGCTCTATGCTGACAGCTCAGAGCCTGGAGCCTGCTTCCGATTCTGTGTCTCCCTCTGTCTCTGCCCCTCCCCAGCTCACACTGTGTGTGTGTGTGTGTGTGTGTGTGTGTCTCTCTCTCTTTCAAAAATAAATAAAAACATTTTTAAAAATTTCTAAGTACCCTAGAGGGAATAAATAGTAGGCTTAGAGGAAGCAGAAGAACAGATCACAGAGCTGGAAGAAAGGGTACTAGAAAGCAATCAAGATGAACAGCAAAACAAAAAGAGAAATATTAAAATTAGAATAGGGGCACCTGGCTGACTCAGTCAGTAGAGCATGCAACACTTGATCTTGGGGTTGTAGGTTTGAGCCCCACATTGGGTATAGAGATTACTTTTTAAAAATCTTGGGATGCCTGGGTGGCTCAGTCAGTTGAGCATCCAACTTTGGCTTATGTTCGTATGGTTCTCGGGTTCAAGCCCCACATCAGGCTTTCCACAAACAGTGCAGTCTGCTTCAGATTCTGTCTCCCTCTCTGCCCCTCCCCTGCTCATACTGTCTCATAAATAAAGAAACAAACAAATAAAATCTTTTTTAAAATTGAGAATAGGTTGAGGGAATTCAGTAACACCATCAAGCATAATACTTGCCTTATATGGATCCCAGAAGAAGGGAGAAAGGGGACAGAGAATTTGTTTGAAGAAATAATAGGTGAAAATTTCCCTAATCTGGGGAAGGAAACAAACACCCAGATCCAGGAGTCACATAAAGCCTCCACCAAAATTAATTCAAGGAGATCCACATCAAGGCACATAATAATTAAAAGGGCAAGAAGTAGTGATAGAATTATGAAAGAAGCTAAGAGGAAAGAAAACAGTTAAATACAATGGAAACAAGGCTTTCAGCTAATTTTTCAGCAGAAATTTTGTAGTCCAGAAGAGAGTAGCTTGATATATCCAAAGTGCTGAAAGGGGGAAAAACCTGCAACCAAAAATACTCCACCCAAGAGTTCTATCATTTAGAATACAAGAATATAAGAGTTTCCCAGAAAACAAAGAAGAAAAGTTAATGGAATTAATTACCAATAAACCAGCCTTACAAAAAATGTTAAAGGGAATCCTTTGAGGGAAAAGGAAAGGCCATAATCAGAAGAAACATAAAAGGAAAAAAAATTCACAGGCACATTCAAACATAATAAAAGTAGTAGATAAATCACTTATAAAACCAGAATGGAGAATAAAGCACAAAAGCAGTAAAATTAGTTATATCTATAAAAATCAGCCAAGGATTCACAAAATGAAATGACATAAAGTATGACATCACATGGTTAAAACTTTAGAGGAGCGCCTAGGTGGCTTAGTCGGTTAAGCGTCCGACTTTCGCTTAGGTCATGATCTCGCAGTTAGTGGGTTCGAGCCCCGCGTCGGGCTCTGTGCTGACTGCCAGCTCAGAGCCTGGAGCCTATTTCAGTCTGTGACTCCCTCTCTCTCTCACCCTCCCCTGCTCACGCTGTCTCTCTCTCTCTCTCCTAGAAATAAATAAAACATTTTAAAAAATTTAAAAAAAAAAAAACTTTAGAGGAGGGAAGTAAAAGTTTAGTACTTTTAGAATGGTTTCAAACTTAAGAGACCATCAACCTAATATAGACAGCTATACCCACAGGATATTATATATAAACCTAAGAGTGCCAATCACAAGTCAAAAACCTAAAATAGATACCCTAAAAATAAAGAGAAAGGAATCCAGGCATACCAATAAAGAAAGCCACAAAAATTACCAGGGGAGAGCAAGAGAAGAAAGGAACAGGGGTGCCTGGGTGGCTCAGTCAGTTAAGTGTCTGCCTTCGGCTCAGGTCATGATTCCACGGCTCATGAGTTCGAGCCACATCAAGGTCTCTGCTGTCCCCATGGAGCTCACCTCAGATTCTCTGTCCTCCTCTCTCTGTGTCCCTCCCCGGCTTCTCAATCTCTCAAAAATTAATAATTTAAAAAAAAAAGGAAAAAGGAACAGAGAAGAACTACAAAAAACATAAGAACAAGTAACAAAATGACAGTAAGTACATATCTATCAATAATTACCATGAATGTAAATGAACTGAACACTTCAATCAAAATACAGAGTTGACTGAATGGATAAAAAAACGGGACTCATCTACATACTGCCTACAAAACAATCATTACAGACCTAAAAGACATATGCAGATTGATAGTAAAGGCATGGAACACATTTACAGTGCAAATGGAAGTGAAAAGAAAGCTGGAGTAGCAATACTCACAGGGAACAAAATAAACTTTAAAACAAACATTGTAACAAGACATAAGGACACTACATAATCATAAAGGGAACAACCCAACAAGAAGACATAGTAACTGTAAATACTTATGCACCCAACCTGGGAGAACCCAAGTACATAAATAAAGCAACTATTAACAAACAGAGGAAATCGATAGTAATATAATAATAGTAGGAGACTGTTAACACCTCACTTACATCAATGGCTAGATCACCCAGATAGAAAATCAACAAGGTAACTACGGATTTGAATAACACATTGAACCTGATGCACTTAAACAGATATTCAGAACTTCCATCCCCATACAAAACATACATTCTTTTCAAGTCCACATAAAATATTCTACAGAAGGTATCACATGATAGGTCACAAAACAAGTCTCAACAAATACAAAAAAACCCTGAAACCATATCGTGCATCTTTTCCAGCCACAATGGTATAGAACTAAAAATAAACCACAAGCAAAAAATCTGGAAAGAGCAAAAATACAGAGTTTAAATAACATGCTACTAAACAATTAACGTGTCAACCAAGAAACCAAATTTAAAAATTAAACCAAATTTAAAAATACATGGAGACAAGTGAAAAGGAAAACACAATGACCCAAAATGTTTGTCATGCAGCAAGAGCTATTCTAAGAGGAAAGGTTATAGCAATACAGGTCTACTTTGAGAGGCATGAAAAATCTCAAATAAACAACCTAATGTTACACCTAAAGAAGCTACAAAAAGAACAAAACCCAAAGCCAGTATAAATAAGAAAATAATAGATTAGAAAATAAATTGAAATTGAAAAGAAATTGAGATGAAAAAATAGAACAGATCAGTGAAATCAGGAGTTGATTCTTTGAAAAAAATCAACAAAATTGATATATGTTTAGGTAGACTCATCTAAAGAGAGAGGACTCAAACTCATAAATAAAGAGAAATAGCAACCAATATCACATAAATACAAAGGATTATAAGAGAATATTATGAAAAATTATGTTCCAAACACATTGGACAACCTAAAAGAAATGAATAAATGCTTGGAAACATGTAATCTCCCAAAACTACATTAAGACAGAATTTTTGAACAACCCAATTACTAACAATGACATTGAACAAGAAAACAACAACAGAAACCTCCCAACAAACAAAACTCCAGGATCAGATGGCTTCACAGATGAATTCCACCATACATTTAAAGAAGAGTTAATACCTATTCTTCTGAAACTATTCAAAAAAATAAATAAATAAAAGAGGAAGGAAATTTTCCAAATTCATTCTAGAAGGCCAGCATTACCCTGATTCCAAAACCAGATAGACACTACACTAGTGCCTGGCTGGCTCAGTTGGTAGAGCATGCAACTCTTGACTGCACGGGCATGGGGACTTCTTAAACAAACAAAGAAGCAAACAAACATTTCAATAGACATTCTTTCCCCAAAGACATACAGATGGCCAACAGTCACACGAAAAGATGCTTAACTTCACTAATCATCAAGGAAATGCAATTCAAAACCACAATGAGATATCACCTCACATCAGTCAGAATGACTAAATTCACAAACAGGAAATAATTAAGTGTTGGCGAGAATGTGAAGAAAAAGGAACCCTCTTGCACTGTTGGTGGTAATGTGAACTAGCGCAGCCACTGTGGAACACAGTATGGAGTTTCCTCAAAAGATTGAAAACAGAATTACCATAGGATCCAGTAATTCCACTACTAAGTATTTACCCAAAGAAAACGAAAACACTAATTCAAAAAGATATCTGCGCCCCTATGTTTATTGCAGCCTTACTTACAATGGCAAAAATATGGAAGCAACACACCTGTCCACTGACTAATGAATGAATAAATAAGATGTGGTACTCAACCATAAAAAAGCATGAAATCTTGCCATTTGCAACAACCTGGGTGGATCTAGAGAGTATAATGATAAGTGAAATAAGTCAGAGAAAGACAAATACCATATAATTTCACCCATGTGTAGAATTTAAGAAATAAAACAAAGGGGAAAAAAAGACAAACCAAAACAAATTCTTAACTACAGAGAACAGTTACCAGAGGGGAAATGGGGAGATGAGTGAAATAGGTAAAGTAGATTAAGTATATGTGCTCGTATCTTAATGAGCACTGAGTAATGTATAAAACTGGGGAATCATTCTATTGTGCACCCAAGACTAATATAACATTGTATGTTAACTATACTTTAATTGTAATTGTAATTAATTAATTAAAAATTTATTAATAAATAAAATAAAGACCTCTACGAATGAAAGAACATCTCATGGTCATGGGCTGGAATGCTAAGTTAGCAACTCTCTGATTGATCTACAGATTAAATGTAGCTTCCCACATTGGACCCCTAACTGGATTCTCTGCAGAAATTGAAAAGCTTCTAAAATTCATACGAAAATGCAAGGGATCCAGAAGAGTCAAAACAATCTTGACAAAACAAAGTTGGAGAACATACATTTCCCAATTCAAATCTTACTCCAAATCTATGACAGCAACCAATAGCATGGTACTGGCATAAAATAGAAATACAAACTGTTGGAGGGGCGCCTGGGTAGTTTAGTTGGTTAAGCGTCCAACTTCGGCTCAGGTCAAGATTTTGCTTTGAATGGGAGCCCCATATCAGGCTCTGCACTGGTGGTGCAGGGATTCTCTCTATCCCTCTCTCTTTCTCTCTGCCCTTTCCCCATTTGTGCTCTCTCCCTCTCTCAAAATAAATAAACTTTAAAATATATGTATATAAACCATTGGGATAGAATTGAGAGTCCCGAAAATAAGCTGGACGTTATTAAAATTAAACTTTTTGCCACAATGATACCACCAAGAAAGTGAAAAGACAACACACAGAATATAAGAAAATATTTGCAAAATTATATACCTGATAAGGGATCAATATCCTGAATACATAAAGAACATTCACAACTCAATAGAAAAAATGGCAATCTAATTCTTAAATGGGCAAAGGATTTAAAAGGATACTTCTGGGGTGCCTGGGTGGCTCAGTCGGTTAAGCATCCGACTTCAGCTCAGGTCATGATCTCGCAGTTTGTGGGTTCAAGCTCCGCTTTGGGCTCTGTGCTGACAGCTAGCTCAGAGCCTGGAGCCTGTTTCAGATTCCGTGTCTCCCTCTCTCTGACCTTCCCCTGCTCATGCTGTCTCTCTCTCTCTCTCAGAAATAAATAAAACATTTTTAAAAGTTTAAAGGATTTCTCCAAAGAAGATATACAAATGTCCAAAAAGCACACAAAAAGTTGCTTAACATCACTAGCCATTAAGGAAATGCAAATCAAAAACACAATGAGATACCATTCTGTAAACACTAAGATAGATATAAACAAAAAGACAGGCAGTAATAAGTGTTGACAAGAACATGGAGATTTTGGAACATTTATACACTGGTGGAAAGAATGTAAAATAATACAGTCAATTTGGAAAACTGGCAGTTCTTCAAAATGTTAAGCAGAGAGGTACCAAACAAATGGCCCACCAATTCCACTCCCAGGCCTACACCCAAGACAAATGACAACATATGTTCACAGGAAAACTTGTACTACGTGAATGTTTGTAGCAGCACTATTCATAGTAGCAAGTGCCAAAAATCCAAATGTCCATCAACTACATGAATGGACAAACAAAATGTGTTAAGTCTACACAATAGAATATTATTCAGTAATAAATAAGAGTTAAGTACTGATATATGCTACAACATGGATGAACCTAGAAATTATGCTATGGGAAAAGAAGCACATCACAAAAGACCACATGTGGTATGATTCCGTTAATATGAAATATTCAGAATAGGTAAATCTAGAAGTTACTGCCAGAGTCTGGAAACCAAGGAGGAATGAAATGCCCTGGAAGCAGGACAATGGGAATGTTCTGGAATTAGACAATGGTGATGGAGGTACAATTCAGAATATGCTAAAAACACAAAACAGACACACATACACAACACATTCCTTTGTATTCTCTAAATGGCTTAACTATGGTAGGTAAACTATATCCTAATACAGGCTATTTTTCTTAAGTGTAAAAATCTACAAAAACCTACGAGAAACTTATAGGCTGTACCACAAGGTAACTGGGGCTTACCCATGCCAGAAATCCATGCTCAAATAAAGGAAGGGATTATGTCAGCCTTACCCAGGGACGCCACGTTTCTGTAGTTCTCCAGCATCACATCTCTGTACAGTTTTCTCTGACATGGATTCAACAACGCCCACTCCTCCTGGGTGAAGTCCATGGCCACATCCTCAAAGGTTATTGAGTTCTAAAATAATCAACACATTTTGTCTCAACCAGCAACCAATCCCACCAGCATTCTTGGGAAGAGGGTCATGGTGACCTCACTGAGGATGAAAGACCTCTTTCATTCATAGTAATTTCAAAATCCTAAGACACAGTCATCTTGCTTCTCACTTCTTATAAAAAAAATTTTTTATTGTTTATTTACTTTTGAGAGAGAAAGACAGAGCATGAGCAGTGGAGGGACAGAGAAAGGAAGACACAGATCCAAAGCAGACTCCAGGCTCTGAGCTGTCAGCACAGAGCCTGAAACAGGACTCGAACTCATGAACCACGAGATCATGACCTGAGTTGAAATCAAGAGTCAGACACTTAACTGAGCCACCCAGGCTTCTCTACAGTCTTACTCTTCTTTCGGTCTCCCGATCCAATACAGACTTGAATACACTGCAGGAAAAATACTTGCTAAATGAATACATTTTCCCACACAGAATGACCACATATTTTATAACCTTTTACTTTCCCTAACATCATTAAGTAGAAAAGATGCCTGAAAAACATGTGTAAATAGTAGAGTTCCTACTTTGTTGGAACTCCCTGAACCACCATCAGGTCTCAAGATCAGGGATGGGTTTGTAAGGCTCCTATGAAAATTAAAAGGAAAACTTCACTGAAATGGAGTTGGGAAGCCAGTAGTGGGAACTCTCGCCCCCTACCGTTAGTGGTCATTGCAGACCCAACTGGAAGAGACAGATCTTGCAAATCCTTACTTTACTACCCCAGCAGGAGGAAAAAAGGTTTTCTCCTCCTAAGCAGCAGCCTAGGGAATGAGAGACTGCCACAACTTAGCCAATGGAAAGTCACTATATACATTGAGCTCCCAGTTTATTCAGTAGACATATTGTTTACATGAGCCTTCCAAGTGCTTCCATTCCTCCATAAAACAGGTTCCTCGCCTTTGTTCTCCAGACTTGCCTAGTTTTGCTGTAGCTTTCTTGCCCCAAACTGCAATTCTCTGCTATTCCTGAATAAACCCATTTCTGCTGGTAAAATCACTGACAAGTTTTATGTTTAAGGTTAACACTCCAGAGTGTTGGCAAGAAACACATTCACTCCAGGAAAGAATTGTATTTTAAGAGAAAGAAAGATTCCTGACTCACCTGTAACACAGAATGGATGCTTTCCACCTTTGTGACCCTCTCATAGGCACAAGCAGGGTCTAAAACAGGCAGAGATAAAAGACAAGGTGACATAGTCTAGGCACATCCAATATGTTGACACCCAGGCTAGAAATTGCCTCACATCAGTTGAGTCACACACACAACATATTATCTAGAGCAGCCTGCCCTGCCCCCCAGAGCCAGAAAATAGGGTGCCTTACTACCCACGAGGAATGGATTTAGTCTCAATGTTCTCAGGCAAGGAAACTGAAATGCAGAAAGATGGAGTTGTTATCTTTCCCAACTTTACAAAACAGATGGGTGGGATAAATGAAGTGCCACCCCTAAATATTCTTCCGTCTCCCCATGATGCACATATGCCTTTCCTCCAAAATCCCAAAGGGCACTGAATCATACATGAGCAAATTAGGGGGCTCCAAGAGTTTGTAGAGTTCCACACCACCTCCTCTCATCTCAGCCTCTCCTTCCCAGTTCTCCTCTGTGGCTACTCAGCTCCCTGCTTTTGTACCCACCTAGGGTGGAGAGACCACTTAATTTTCGTGAAGCGCATCTACCCTAAGAACTTACCAAATACAGAAGATAGATGTGTGGCTGCCATTTTACAAGTGTTTGAATAAACATGCCCGGGATGCTCTTTTTCTTGCATCTATGGTCTACTGAAGCCAGCGCTCTAAAGAAGAAACATTAACAAGAGAACATGCAAACTTGCAATTTGATTCTGGGTCTTTGTTTTTCTTGCCTTGGGCAGCCTCAAAGCAATATGGTAGGAGTTCTTGATCTTCCTCTCATCCTTAAGGTAAATCTACCATATTATCGAAGCGCATTACCCATCATTTATTAAAAATCCCATCTCCATGGAGGCTCTATACTGGCTTCTCACCTGCAATGGCACCAACACATAGATCTGACTCATAGCCTGACTCCCACTCTTTGACTCTCTGCCTTGATTCAAGATGATTCTATGTTCCTGGGCATAAACTAGGAAAAACATCCATGGCTTCCACATCTCAGTTACATACCTTGAATTTATCATCACTAAGGCTCTTGTGCTCTCCAGAGCAAAAAGTCAGGCATCCCTGAACTCTGAACACAGTAGCTATACTTCCACCCTGTTCACTTTTTAATCTGTATTGTACCTGCTCTCTTACCTCAGAGAGAAGTGTCCAAGCTGTCTACCCCCCCAATTACGCTATTTATAATCCCCATTTCCTTGACACTACATATAAAATGCCATGACCCATCATTTCAATAATATATTTTCTAAACCTCAAATTCCTCTCTGTCCTTCTGTAACACCTGCTCTCGATAATTCCAGCCATCTGTCTATCCTACCTGGGTGATTTCCACCTAACCAGTTATAGGGGTAGCCTCAGCCAAAAATCTGAGGCCTCATCTACTCTAAACAGGCCTTCAATGCTAAAGGAAAAGCTTCACAGGCAATTTAACCCTCTAGTTATCCAAATGCCTTTTTATAATTTCTCCAGAATTTTGAATTTCACATGGTCTCAACTCTCCCTCTTCAACAACATATGATCTTATATCTTACTTCACAGAGGAAGAGTAATAATGAGAAGGATCCTTCCTCTCCTTGGCTCTAATTCAAAAGAAGTCGGACACCATCATGGTTTCTTCTTTCACTAGGCAGACAAGATGTCTTCCTTAAAAAAAGAAAAAAAGATTTTAGGGGCACCTGGGTGGCTCAGTCGGTTTAGTGTCATGATCTCCCGGTTCATTGGGCTCTATGCGGAGAGCTCAGAGCCTGGAACATGCTGCCAATTCTGTGTCTCCCTCTGCCCCTCGCCCACCATGCTGTCTCTTTCTGTCAAAAATAAACATTAAAAAAAGATTTTATTTTTAAGTCATCTCTACATCCAACAGAGGCTCAAACTCACAATCCAGAGATGAAGAGTCACATGAACTGAGCCAGCCAGGCACCTCTCTTTCTTCTTATCTAAAGCCAGTATCTCTTACTTTTCTTTGCCAGGGTTTCCCATCCTTGGCACTGGATGGCACATTGGGACTGGATACTTTATTATGGGGGCGCCCATATGCTTAACAGCAACTCTAGACTCTACCCTGTAGATGTCAGTAGGATCACCTCCAGTTGCAAAATGAAAATTGTCTCCAGATATTGCCAAATGTCCCCTAGGGGGCAAAATTGCCCGTTAGGAATCATTGATCTAATCCGTTCATATCTTCTCTCAGAAAGCTTACTCTAGGGACGCCTGGGTGGCTCAGTCAGTTAAGCATCCAACTTCAGCTCAGGTCATGATCTCATGGTTCCTTGGGTTCAGGCCCCGCATCGGGCTCTGTGCTGGCAGCTAGCTCAGAGCCTGGAGCCTGCTTCAGATTCTGTGTCTCCCTCTCTCTCTGACCCACCCCTGCTCATGCTGTCTCCCTCTCTCTTTCTCTCTCAGAAATAAATAAAACATTTGAAAAAATTAAAAAGAAAAAGCTTACTCTATTGATTATTCCTTGGTTCTTTTTACATCACCACTGTAAGCAGAAAGAGTTAGGGGTCTGCAGAAAAAGTGAGACAGCTTTTTGACATAAGAAGTCCTTTTAGGCCCCAGGCCACCTTGTGATGGATGCCTGACCAGCACTACTTGCCCAAACCACATTCTTGAGTCATCTTTGCAGGATTTAAACTCCTTTGATCACTCAGATACCAGACAAACTGGAGCCTGAGAACTGATGTTGACCTTTGCTGGCCTCCCGTGAATTTCATCAACTAAGACCTGGACTCTCTCACCTTAAGGTGACTTTTGCCTCAATTCCATGCACAATTCCCCACTGCACAAGCCCCTTCATGATGTGTATGTGCTCTTAGCTTAAACTTCCATAGTTTTGTTGTGGGAGGAAACACTGCTTTAGGAAGTAGCAAGTTACTTGTTGTACGTAAAACCTTCCTTTTCCTATTCTTTGGCTTATTTGTGTCCTTTGACTCGACATACACCAGGAGGTGAACCCAGCTTTGAGTAACACCATCAACTTCTATTTCAGTGTACTTAAGCCTTTAACGTTTGAACATAATTAAATAACTCCCATCTTGAAACAAATGTATGCCCTATGTCCCACTTAGCCCTCTGGTTATTGCTCACTCTTCTTCACCACCAAGCTTCTTAGAAGGCTGGTCTATCCTCATACTCCCCCCATTTTCTCACCACCCTTGATACACTCCAACCTGGTTTCCATCACCTGCACCCCCACCATTCCACTGACACGGTTCTGCCAAGATGGCCAAAGATTTAAGAGAATTAATGAGAAATTAATCCAGTGAACGCACTTCTGTCTTTGACTAGGTTGGTCCCTTGGAAAAACTATCACTACTCTCTTCTGTAAGTTATGTTCTTCCCCAGGCTTTTGTGACCACCATCTTCCAGTTGTCATCTTACTGCCCTGGCTACTCTCTTTCAGCCTCTTCTCCCACTGCTGACTGTCCTCCACGATCAGTCCTGGCTTCTATTTCTTGACTTATTCTGTGCCTTCTGTATCTATCCATCCATCCCCTTGAACTTAATTTTCACCTCTATGCTGATAACATCCAAATAAATGTCCAGTTTAGGATCTCAAATTTATGCTCCAGACCCATAAATTGCTTTTCACCTACTGTCATCTAAAATTTTCAAAGACTCCTCTAATGAAACTTAAAAACTGAACTTACTGGGGTGCCTGGGTGGCTCAGTTGGTTAAGACTTTGGCTCAGGTCCTGATCTCACGGTTTGTGAGTTCAAGCCCCGCATCATGCTCTGTGCTGACAGCTCAGAGGCTGGAGACTGCTTAGGATTCTGTCTCACCTCTCTGCCCCTCCTCCACTCATGCTCTTTCTGTTTTTTGGAAATAAATAACAAAACAAAATTTAAAAAAAACTGAACTTACTATCTCTTTCAATAAACTCTTTTGGGTGACTCAGTCAGAGCGTCTGACTCTTGATTTTGGTTCAGGTCATGATCTCGAGGTTTGTGAGTTCAAGCCCCACATTGGGCTCCTCACTGACCATGTGGAGCCTGCTTTAAATTCTCTTTCTTCCTCTCTCTCTGCCCCATGCCCACTTGTGTGCGTGCATGCTCTCTCTCTCTCTCTTTCTCTCTCTTTCTCAAATAAACTTAAAACATTTGCACTCTCAGTAAGGCATGAGTTCCCTGGCTATTCAAAGTAGGCAGATCAAGGATCATTGGTTATCACATCCCTCATCCCATCCCACAGCTGTAGTTAACTGAAACAAGATTAACCATTTGACAAGCTTCTAGTCTCCTATGGTCTGGAATCAATCAATACCTAACAGAATCCTCGATTCCTCCCCCTCACCGCACAACAGCATTGAAAAATTAAAATATAGGTACACTCTCTCCCCCATCCCCCAAAACAGCAACAAATCACTTGAAACCTAAAATTATTCCTGACAGGCTCCACCACACCCTCCCACATAGGGGAAATTGGTGTAAACTCACACTAATCCAAACTACGCCCTCCTCTTTCCCTCCCCCCATCTCAACACCCAAATTCTATCAATCATATAATGGTGCTTTCTCTAGAGAAAAATCTCCCCGACATGGATTATCCTTTCCTGTTATTTTTCAGTCTCTTTAATGTTATTTTTTCAGAACCACCATTGTGACCCCAAATCCAATGTAAAGCTGGTCTCCTCTAACTAAAAGCTTCTGTTCTCCTTATGTATGTAGCCTTCTTCACAATTTGTAATTACATATTTAGTTCTTTGCTTACTTACATTCTTTCTCTTCCACTAGATTGTAATGTTCCAAAGTACAAGAGTGGCCTTTTCTTATTTAAACACTATACCCACTCACTGACACATTGCTAGCCACATCAAGTGCCCAGAATTCTGGGTAAAGAAATGAATGAGTCTAAGAAGAATCGATTCTGTCCCCATCTCTCATTCTACTCTTAAAACCAAGAGTCTAGATCGCCATCACTCATTCCTAAACGCTTAGACTAATCCTTAGTCTTGTTTCCACCCCCTCAAGCTTGTCCTTCCTGCCCTCCATCCTCACTTCCTCCAAGAGCTAGCTCCTCTAAACACAAATCTATGGAAGTGATGAATCACTCCATTCTACACCTGAAACTAATATTGCACTATATGTTAACTAACCAGAATTTAAATGAAAGTTTGAAAAAGGAAGATAAAAAGAAATTTAAAAATCTAACCATGGGCCACCCCTACTCACAATGGCTTCCTCCCAGCCTTAGAATTCAATCTCTATCTTGCTTTCAAGGTCCCAAATCATACCATCTAGCTCACCTTCCTCCTCTCTCGCTTTGCTTTGTTTTCAGCCCAGTCCTGTCTTGCTCAGTTTCCTCAACACGCCAGGCTCCTAGCTGCTCCAGGAATTTTGCATATGCACTGCTCTCTTGCTACAATGCTTTCCCCATTCCTGGCTCCACCCGGGCCCCGCCCGCTGCCTAGCTGTACTGCAGTCATTTCTAAGATGGCGGCTTTAAGGTCTTTTCTTTCCAAGAAGCACCCTTTGATCAAGTCCTCCCCTGACATCCTCTCATTTACAATAGCTCACAATCAGCCCTTATTTATCACACTTAATGGCAGGACTGTAAACTCCAGGGGACTTGACCCTTAGTAATTTTTTTTGTCATTAAATCTGAGGGACTGAGCTAACAGTAGTAACAAGGTCAGTGTAGGCAAGTAATTATTTGTGGACCACTAACAGGAAACAAAAACTCACCCCAGTAATGTTTTAGTGTGAACATACTAAATGATAAGAAATGCCAAAATATATGTGACAATAGAAGATATATTGAGTTTTTGAAATAAGATGAATTCTATCTAGGTAAACAAGGCTTCAAATTCTGTAAAAGAATAATCTTTATAACCGAATCCCTTGCATTTAAAACCAAAGCTAATATCTAATTTCCCCCTGTTATGTTTTATCTGGCAAATAAATTTTCATTTCATTAACACTAGGCAAAACTCATCTCATGTAGTCAATTCAGTTCTGATTTCAGACAATATCTTAGTGAAGTTACATTATTTTTTTTAGAATCTCTTGATTTTCAAGCGTTGGGGGTTGTCCTTTTACTTGAGCTCCCTTGAAAAGGAAAAAGATGACCTTGAGAATAGAACTCGCAATTAAAAGGTAATACGCTGCCCATCCCAATACCCTGTTGAACAAAACCTACCCAACATAAATAACTGGAAAATTCTATTTCGCAAGATACGCCGACCTTAAAGTTCACCCTGATACCCACAGTCAAGAGCAAACATTCTGCGAATTAAAAATTCCCTTACAAAATGAAGGGTCGTGGGGAACACCCGCCTCAAGTTCCATTACTCACCAAAACGCAGAAATCGTAGGTCATCAAGGTAAGGGCTGGAGCCAGGCTGATGTCCACATTAGTCCTCAGCTACAGCAAGCGTTGGATCTGAAGAAACACAAGGTCACTGACTTTTATCTAGTAATGCCATTGAAAGGACTAAAGGATTCAAAGACACGCCCTATTCCCCTTGACTAGACTTTCACAGTGCATTTTACATAGGATTATTGGTAAAACAAAGGATACTCCCTGAGTAACCTAATTCCTGCTCACTTGGTACTTCCTAAATATCCAGAAAGATACAATGACTCAGAAATTTCAATAGAGTAATTCACTGCCTAAGTTGCTGCATCTCTTTGCAGGGTATTTTAGCATGCATTCATTCACTGAATAAATATTTATTGAGTGCCTACTGTATACCACACACTATTCTAAATATCAGAAATGTGGAAGAAACAAGTCATAATTATATAGAAAAATCAAGTAAGTATGAAAGCTTGCACAGAGGACAAGAGAAGTAAATGGTAAAGAGATAGTGAGTGATTGATGCTGGTGAACACGGAATCTTTATTTATTTTATTTATTTTTTTTTTTTTGCCTAACTAGCAGTTGAGGATTTTTTTTTTTAATTGACCTATAGTTGACACAACACAGGCACCCTTTGAAGAGCTAATGTTCCAGCTGAGACATTGACAAGGCTGATCAAACTCAGAGCTTGACATAATTTAGGCTACATTTACTGAGAAGGCTGGGCCTTAAATTTTATGAGAACTGCCCCCACTGTGACTTGTTTGCTCTACGCCTGGCCCAGGTCCCCACCCCTCCCCCACATGCCTACAACAAGTGAACATTCCCGCCTCATCTTTCCTGTTAGTGCAATATTTAACAGTCTGCTGAATTTCAAGACACACCCCTTACCCTTTCCCAAGCCACCAGTCTCTGCGCGTTGAAGCTCTGTTTACCCACCCCTCCCCTGTTCCGCATATTCCTTGCAAATCTTCGTGTTACAAGAGTCCCCCTTAAGAAAACCTTTCGTTACTAACTTTGAAATGCCCTTAAAAAAAATTTACCAAGGCACCTGGGTGCCTCAGTCGGTTAAGCGACTGATTCTTGGTTTCAGCACAGGTCATGATTTCACAGATTCGTAAGTTCAAGCCCCGTGTCAGGCTTTGCACTGATCATGAAGAGCCTACGTGAGATTCTTTCTCTTTGCCCTTCTCTCTCTCTCTCTCTCACTCCCTCTCTCAAAAATAAATAAAGATTTTTTTAAAAAAATTTAAAGAATTAATTGACAACAACCATGAAGACAATCAGGAAGGGCTGAGTTGTGGCAAACTGCCTCCCAGAAGAGCGAGTGGTACATGGTTGAATAGTGACTGTCTCTGCTTTTGGGGCATCTTCATCAGCCCTAGACTGTGAGCTTTAACTCTTGGAACGGAAGAGGCAGGAGAAGGAAAGGGCAAATGCCTTATGCCTCTGTCAGGTAATTAGCAAACCAGTAGTTTCCTCCCTTCTGCTGCAGGTAGGAATTGGATTGGAATGAAGATTGGCTAATGAGCAGCTTTGGAGATGAGCTCTCTAGGGACAGAAGAAAAAAAAAAAACTGTAAATAGACTGCTTGTTCCCCATCAACACAATCTCACACCTACCAGACGAGGAAGGAAGACACTGTGTCACTTCTTAGAAAACGTGTCTTGCCCAGAAACTCCACACATAACTGTCTCCTTGAAATTCTCAAAAGTCAATTTGTCTTCAACATCCACATCTTCCATCAATACATATGGTCTTCTGTGGGACCATCCTGGAGAATCAGAAATCTCTTGTAAGTTCTGGAGAATAGGGGCAAATTACTATTATTGTTGTTGTTATTCGCATGTAGAGTTAGTCCTAGGGTAATTAAGTAGGAAGTCTAAAGCAGTGGTTCTCAAAATGTTGTCTCCAGCCAGCAGCCAAAGCTGGGTTCGTGTGTGCACACCCCGGGCAGTCAGAGAGAACCCCCACGCTTGGTTTAATGCTTTGCTGTCACCATCTGAAATGTATGAGCTAGGAGTGCCCCCTTTTCATTTTGCCCTGGGACCTGAAAATGATGCAGCCATTTTTGCCTGAAATACCATCACCTGGGGAGTTCTTTGAAATACACTTTTTTTTAAAGCTTTTTAAAAAATGTTTATTTATTTTTGAGATAGCATGAGGAGAAGGGCAGAGAGAGAGGAAGAGAGAATCCTAAGTGGGCTCCGCGCTGATAGCCCCGAGCCTGATGGGAGGCTTGAACTCAGGAACAGCAAGGTCATGACCTGAGCCGAAGTCGGGATGCTCAACTAACAGAGCCTAGGTGCCCCTAAAAGACACTTTCTTAGTCCTTACTTAGACATGCTGAAACTCTGGGGTGGCATCCAGCAACCGTATTTTGAGAACTCTTTCAGGTGAGTCTGATGCATGGTCAAGATTGAGAATAGCTGTCTAAAGGCACTCCCGATTTTGCATTAATTGCTTGGCATATTTCCAAGTCCCCTGGCACTAGATTCACAATTGCTCCTGATTCTGCAGACACCTTTTCCTCACTCCAAGTTTGCAGCAACTAGTGCCCTACTCAAAAGAATCAAAACTTTCTAAACTTCTCTAAGGATTCCAGGCTGCTCTAATGCACCACTTTATTTCCCAGGTATGGCAGAAGGGGACCTGTCTGGTCTATGGTCACATTACTAATGCTAAATCCAATTCTTTGAAAGAGACACTGAGATTTAAGGGAAAGAGACCAGTCTCCCCTAAATGTAAACTTGCCCCTACATGTAATCAAGGGTCCTAACAAAATTTTCAAAATGGTCTCTCTCACTATATACAGGTGTTGCTCCATGGCTATTCTCTCCCCCCCCCCCCCACCCAATTCCTTATTCTTCCTGTCTTTTCCCCCTACACCCTCCAGCACACACCACTCAAAGGGAGGTATCAAGTCAGGATCTTCTCAAGTTTCAGTGATGCTGATATCAATGATATGAACAGTGAGTACACATTCTGCTGTGTGCTTTATTTTTTCCTTTTCATGTACATTCCTGGAGTGTGGATACCACATTCTCACTTCTGTTACCCGGATAACAAACAAAAGCTCAAGCATGTTCATGGATTTCCTTCCTTGGCTTTATATAGGATTTGAATCCAGATGGCTCATTCTATACCATTTAGGAGCTTCTACAGCAATGCTTTGCAAAGTGTGGTCTCCTCCACCCTTTCACTCCACCCTCCTCCACTCTATCAGCCTCACCTGGGAACTTATTAGAACTACAAATACTGGATCTACCCAACTGGAAATTCTTGGGTAGAACATAGGGGTCTGTGGAGTTTTTGGTTTTTTTTTTTAAGATGAAGTATAGTTGACATACAAAATTATATTGGTTTCAGGTGTACAAGAAAGTGTTTTGACAATTATATACATTAAAAAATGCTCACCATGATAAGCGTAGTTACCATCTTTCACCACACAAAGTTATTACAATTTTATTGACTATGTTCCCTTTGCTATACTTTTCATCCTCATGAATGTACTTTTCATCCTCATCCTCATTTCTTTCATAACTGGACATTTGTACTTCTTACTTCCCTTCACCTATTTTGTCCATCTGCTCCTGGGGTTCTGTTCCCTGAGAACCCCATCCATGAAGTGTGAGAAATGAGGGGCAATTGATTTCTCAAACTGCCATGAAGGACAGAAGCATAAATAAAGCAAATCAGAAAGTTTCTTCAACATTTTTTATTAATCAATTAATTTTTAAATCATAATGAAATGTATTTAACATAAAATGTACCATTTTAACCATTTTTCTGTGTCCAGTTCGGTAGTACTAAACACATCCACACTGTCACACAGCCATCCCCACCATCCATTTCCAGAAAATTTTTTTAATTTGTAAAACTGAAACTCTGTCCCCCTTCAACACTGTCTATCCCTGTCCCCCAACCCTATCACCCATCATTCTATTTTCTGTCTCTATAAATGTGACCCTTCTGGGACCTCACAGAAGTAGAATCATACAGTGTTTCTATTTCTGAGACTGGCTTATTTCACTTAACATAATGGCCTAAAGTTTCATCCATGTTGTAGCACGTATTAGAATTTCTTTCCTTTCCAAGCCTGAATAATAGTTAATATTCCATTGTATGGATGGGCCATATTATGTTTATCCATTCATCTGTCAGTGGACACTTGGGTTGTTTCCACCTTTTGACTATTGTGAATAATTATTCTGTAACCATTGGTGTGCAAACATCTCTTCGAGACCCCAACTTCAATTTTTTTGAGTATAGACTCAGATGAGGAATTGTTGAAACCTATGGCAATTCTATTTTTAATATTTTTTTGTGTGAAACCCCTCAACATTTTAACAAAGAATGATAAAGATTCTTTCATGCATTTAAATTTTTTCCAAATGTATAACCTCCATTCATGTTTCTGCAATAGTGACTATTGAAAAAAGGTAACAGCCTGTGCATCAGGAAATCGAGGGGAAGAGGGACATCCTAAACCAAGCTGAATATTTTCTCTTCCATAAAGACTACTACACTGTTCCTTGGCCTTTGGGCTAAGATCAAGTATAAAGACTAGTACAACTATACTGTTATTAATAAAAATGATAGCAACAGCAATAAGTACAGCCAATATTTCTAGAGTATGTCTGTAGCACAGATCTTTTCTTTTTATTTTTTTAAATTTTTTTTATTTCTAGGAGAGAGAGTGTGTGAGCAGGGGAGGGTCAGAGAGAGAGGGAGTCACAGACTGAAACAGGCTCCAGGCTCTGAGCTGGCAGTCAGCACAGAGCCCGACGCGGGGCTTGAACCCACAAACCGCGAGATCATGACCCAACCGAAAGTCGGATGATTAACCGACTAAGCCACCCAGGCACTCCAGATCTTTTCTTTTTAAAGTGCATTTATTTTAGAGAGAGAGAGAGTGTGAGTGAGGGAGGGGCAGAGAAAGGAGGGACAGAGGATCTGAAGCTGGCTCAGTGCTGACAGCAGAGAGCCCCACATGGGGCTCAAACTCACAAACCATGAGATCATGACCTGAGTTGAAGTCGGATGCTCAACTGAGCCACCCAGGTGCCCCTTCTGTCTTGTTTAATGCATGGAGCATCCTATTCATTTGAAGGACATAAATGTCCCTTGAACTTTGCTCAACTTCTCTCTTCCATGAATAAACTAACGACCTCCTAACCTTGCTCCATTAATCATCCTGTGGATTGCAATTCTGTCAAGTGACCTGGATGTTAGCATTGGCAGATTCAACAGTTCTCTCCCCTACTTAGGCCAGCGTGAGGGCAGAGGAAAAAATGCTCACTCACTTCCTTTGTTCTCTGAAGACTCCATGCATCCCATCTTCCCTCCACTTCCGTTAGGAATATGTATCCTTCCAAGCTCACATCCTGAGATGGTTTGGTTTTGATTAAAGCAGAAAATGATACATTTTTATCAATAAGGTATTTGCATACCAGCTCCTAGAATTATTCACTTTTTTTTCTTTTTGAGAGAGAGAGAGGCATAGAGCCTGACGCGGGGCCTGAACTCATGAACGTGAGATCATGACTTGAGCCGAAATCAGACACTTAACGGACTGAGCCACCCAAGTGACCCTAATGCTAGATTTTAAAATGGCATGTAGGCATGAGAGTTCCCTCAAAAAACAAAACAGAATTTGTTTTCATTTTTAATTTTACTTTTAAAACTTTTTATTTAAATGTACTTTGAGAGAGAGAAAGTAAGAGAGATCACATGGGGGAGGAGCAGAGAGAAAGAGGAAGAGAAGGAGAATCCCAAGCAGACTCCACACTGTGCAGAGCCTGATGGAGGGCTGGAACCCACCAACTGTAAGATCATGACCTGAGCTGAAACAAGAGCTGACGCTTAACTGACTGAGCCACCCAGGTGTCTCTTACTAATTTTTTTTTAATTTTTTAACATTTTTGTTTATTATTGAGAGAGAGAGAGACAAAGAATCTGAAGGAGGCTCCAGGCTCCAAGCTGCCAGCACAGAGCCCAACATGGGGCTCGAACTCACAAATCGTGAGATCATGACCTGAGCAAAGTCGGACACTTAGACTGAGCCACCCAGGCGCCCCCTAATTTATTTTTTAATGTGGGCTTGAACTCACAACCCTGAGATCAAGACCTGAGCTGAGATCAAGAGTCAGAAGCTTAACCAAATCAGCCACCCAGGTGCCCCTTCATTTTTAATTCTAGCATTAGAAAAATGGGTGATACATAGGAGTCACTCTATATTTACTCGGTGAAGGAAGAAAGGAACAGAGGAACCTGATGGGAAGAATCCTTTAAATATTACTAGAATTTAAAGCATATATAAAACATGTCTGTCAAGCAAGTGATGTCTGTGTGTCTACTTCATTGTAACTAACTCCTGTCTCTAACTCAGCAGACACCTCAACAACATGAAATCAGAAAACCAGACGGAAGTATCAGAATTCCTCCTCCTGGGTCTCTCAGAAGATCTAGAACTGCAGCCCCTCCTGTCTGGGTTGTTCCTGTCCATGTACCTGGTCACCATCCTTGGGAACCTGCTCATCATCCTGGCCGTCAGCTTGGACTCCCACCTCCACGCCCCCATGTACTTCTTCCTCGCCAACCTGTCCTTTGTCGACATTTCCTTCACCTCCACTACAGTCCCCAAGATGCTAGTGAACATCCAGACACAGAGCAAATCTATCACCTATGCAGGCTGCCTCACTCAAGTATATTTCTTCATGGTTTTTGTATGTATGGACAATTTACTACTAACTGTGATGGCTTATGACCGCTATGTGGCCATCTGCCGCCCTCTGTATTACACAGTCATCATGAACCCTCGCCTCTGTAGCCTGCTGATTCTTCTCTCCTTGCTCATTAGCATTATGAATGCCCTGCTTCACGGTCTGATGGTGGTTCATCTGTCCTTCTGCACAGACTTGAAAATCCCCCACTTCTTCTGTGAGCTTGCTCAGATCCTCAAACTTGCCTGTTCTGATACTCTTATCAATGACGTCCTGGTGTATTTAGTGACTGGCCTGTTGGGGGTTGGTCCCCTCTCAGGGATAATTTTCTCTTACACTCGAATTGTCTCCTCCGTCCTGAGAATCCCATCAACCGGTGGAAAGTTCAGAGCTTTTTCCACCTGTGGGTCTCACCTGTCTGTTATTTGCTTATTCTATGGGACTTGTGTTGGAGTCTACCTCAGTTCTGCATCTTCCTTCTCTTCCAGGAGGCGGGCGGTGGTCTCAGTGATGTACACGGTGGTCACTCCCATGATGAACCCCTTTATCTACAGCCTGAGGAACAGGGACATCAAGGGAGCCTTGAGGAAGCTCATCTCTGGAACTTCTTCGTTTTCATGATTCTGTCATCTGACTTGCATGTGGGCTTCTAGAATGAGTGAAAGGGAATGAAATCCTAAGTATGCTAGAAATCCTGACTCCTCCCTAATTCATTTCTAGCAAAGTGGTTAATCGTGACTTTCAAGTCAAGTCAAATAGCTTTGTATTAAGTGCTACTGTCCTGTTTTAGCACTTGTTTATTAACTAACTTTGAGTTCAATTCACTTATAAAATGTAATTAATATTACATACCTCATTATTAAATCAATGCTATTTTAGGTTTGAAGCTAAATTTCTGTACCAAGCTAGCTCTATGGAGGGAACAATCTTTTTAAGCAGAAGTACTTATTTTCTGAGGTGTTTTCTGTGTGCTGAAAGTGGTGTGGGAATATTTGTATAAATGGAAGGCTAGCTTTTGTCTCTATGAAAAAATACTCGATCTTTCCCTCTGGTTCCTGGCACAGAGCTCACTGGACTCTCCTGAGTGAAGAGCGTCCTTTATGCTAATGAGGGCTCCTTCATAGCTTCAGGGCTGGTTGCCAGTAAGACCAAGCAGTGATTAGAAGGAAATTTCAGCCCCAACCCCCAACCTCCAGGTGTTGGTGGTTGAACCAATCACCGATGACCAATGATTTAATCAAGCAAACCTATGTAATGAAACCACCATTAAAAAAAAAAAAAAAAAAAAGACAGGGTTCCACGTCTTGGTTGGTGAATAAGAACACATCCATGTTCCAAGAGGGTAAAACACCCCAAACTCCACAGGGACACGAACTTCTGTGTTCGGGACACACTTCAGATGCTGCCCTACATATCTCTTCATCTAGCTGTTCATTCCTATCCTTTAATATCCTTTGTAAAAAAGCAGTAATCTAATAAGTAACCTGTTTTCCTGAATTCTGTGAACTGCTCTAGCAAATTCATTGAAAAGTGGAGGAGACCAAGGGAACCTCTGATTTATAGCCGGTCATCCAGAAGCATAGGTGACAATCTGGATTGCAATTGGTGTGAAGTGGGATGGGGCAGATTGTGAGACTAAGCCCTTAACCTGTGGGATCTGATACTATCTCCAGGTAGATAGTGTCCGAACTAACTTGAATTGCAGGACACCAAGCTGGTAGCCAGAAAATGTGAGAATCATTTAGTCTGGGGGAAAGACACACACACACACACACACACACACACACACACACACCATGCACGCACGCACGCACGCACACGAGTGGAGGCCAGAAATATCAGAAGTAGTTTTGAGTGTTGTGTGAGGTTAAAGGAGATGCACAGGGGGAAGTGAGATTTTCTTTAGACCCACAAAGCCTAAAATATTTACTGGATGGCCCATTACAGAAAAAGTTTGCTTCCTGCCCTTTTTGGATCTCAACTAAAATCTGAGGCCCTTGCTTCTGAATTTTTATAACTAAAATTTGACAAACTCCATATAAAAATCCTACAGGTCTGAGCTGCTATTTCAAATGCAAGTTAACCAACAAATGAATAATGATCAGTAACCACAAGGGAAAATCAAGATGCACTTCAAAATCCTCGGAGCCTATTTGATTTCTGCATCTCAGAAGAAGTTTAGGCTTTCAGACATGGTGGCCCAGCGTGTAAAGCCCTGGTTCTCAAAGCAGAGACAGGTAGCGAGTTTTGTACCCAAAACCCTTGCTCTTTGCCCACGCACTAACATTTGGAGCCCAATGTACCTCTGTTGTGGGAGTGTCCCGCCCATTGGCGGATGTTTAGTTTGGTTCCACCACTAGATGCCAATAGCACCCAACCCAAACTGAGTTTTGACATCCAATCCTTCTTCAGTGAGAACCGCCGCTGAAAAAAAAATTAATTAATTGAAGACAGGTAAGGTGTCTTAGAATAAACTAGGTGTTTATATCTGTGGTTCAAATATCAATGTGTAAAAGAGAATGACTACATTCAACTTTACTTGTGCTACCACAAAACCAAGACAGTTAACCTCCCACCTCCTACCCTTTTGAGTTCCAGAAAATACTTACTGCAAACACCCTCCCCTCCCCACTGTGACTGGGATAAGACTCACTGGTGACCCCACTGTTTACCTACAACAAAGCCAGACACACCCTCCAAATTCCCATTTTTTCCCCCAAGATTTCTAACTTTCTATGCATGGTCTCAACTGTATATTTGCAGCTTTTTACTTCTCCCTTCACCTGTGTCTCTCTCTAGGGATGTCTTACAAAGTAGGAGACTCCACAAATTTCATAATCAGTGTTGTCACAACAAATGAAATGGGTGCCATACCACTACATTTCTCAGTACTTTCAACTGTGCTTCATCTAATGCTACCATGAATGATAATTTGGGTAATCATGATATCACTATCTGCCATGTGTTACCCATGCCCCATTCCCCCTCACAAAGAGGTCATCAATGAGCTCCTCAAATATGTAACCAATTCAACCTCAGAGTCCTATATGAAAGCCTCTTTCTTGAGGTCATTTTGGGACCCTTTATTCATTCAGATGACACACTGGATTTAGAATAACTTGAATAGAGCTTAAGAAGGCAATATTTACAAAGGTATGGGTGTTTAGCAAAGTCACAAGGAGTAGTGTATCAAGAGTGCACTACAGGAGTAGAGATCTGAGGGGTGCAGTCATCCCTTGGTGACCTACAGGGAGGGAAATGGGGGCATAAATACCCAAACCTCACTCTTCTTTCCTCTGATAACTTGCTAGTGCTTCCCATTGGCCCAACCCAATGGGAAGCCAGAGGGCAAAGGAATCTCTTGATGCAGTCTAAACAGATCAGCTTTCCTGGGCAACAGGCCAGGATAGAGTTTGGGTTAGAGTAGCAAATGCAAAATATCCAACATCAGTAAGAAGCCATCAGAGAGATCTGAGCAGAGGATTAACATGTTCCAATTTAGGCTTCCAAAGGATTGCTCTGGTGGTTGGGTTCAATGTGGATAAGAGCAGAAGCAGGGAGACCAGACAGGAGACATTACAACAGTTCAGTGGAGTTGAAGGAGGTGTGGACCAAGAGGATACTAATGTAGATGATGAGAACTGGGCTGATTCTGGATTTATACTTTAATTAGACCCTTGATATTTGCTGAGGTATGGGGTGTGAGAGAAAGAAAGGAGTCAAGAAGGACTCAAAAGTTTTTTGACTTGAATTGTTTGTGAAGAGTTGCCACTTTCTGAGATAAAGAAACCATAAAGTCTAGGGACTGAGGTTGAGTTAGGTTATAATTTTTTAGTGAACAATAATATACATTCAGTGAACTACAATGTACATATAACTGGATGAGTTTTCACAAATTAGTCACACTCATGTTATCAGTATCCATTCAGATCAAGAAATAGAACTCTACCAGCATCCAGGAAGCCTTCTGTGTCCTTGGCAATCAATGTCTCCCTGCCCCCTTGGGTAATGACCATCTGATGTCTAACAGTACAGATGACTTTGCCTGTTTTGAACGTTGTGTATCAGTGGCTTACATTATGCCCTCATTTGTGTCTGTATTTCTTTCTTTTTTAAAAAAAAAGTTTATTAATTTATTTTGAGAGAAAGAGTGAAAGCAAGGGAAGGGCAGAAAGAGTGGAAGAGAGAGAGAGAGAATCCCAAGCAGGCTCCACGCTGTTGGCAGATTCTGAAAAGGGGCCTGATCCCAAAACCACGAGATTATGACCTGAGCTGAAATCAAGAGTCAGATGGACACTCAAAAGACTGAGCCACCCAGGCATCACGTGTCTGGCTTTCTGACTTAACTCATTATGTTTGTGATGTTCATCTAGAATGTTATAGATAGTGACAGTTCGTTTGTTCTTGGTTTGTGAATATAGTTGCAGTCTGTTTATTCATTCTACTGTTCATTGGTGCTTGTATAGTTTCCAATTTTTGGCTACTAATAACAATACTGCTGTGAATATATTTGCACTTGTCTTTTGCTGAGAAGTGGAACTTCTGGGTTATAGGATACGCTTATGTGCATAGTAGTAGATTCCACCAGTTTTACAATGTGACTATGCCAAAGTGCCCTCCCTTCACCAAGATGAGCTCTGCTTCTTTTCCATCATTACTAATGCTTAATATTTTCAGTCTTCTTATAGCCATTCTGTGGAGTGAGTAGTGGTATCTCATTGTGGTCATCTAATGAGCATTTCCCTAACAAAGCTACGAATCTTTTCATATGTTTAGTGGCCATTTGGGCATCCTGTTTTGTGAGGTGTCCAGATTTTTTTTGGCCTGTTTTTAAACTTAGTTGTCTTTCTGTTGTTAATTCTACAAGTTCTTTATATAGCCTGAATATGAATTCTCTTGTAGATATATGCTTTTCTTTCACTTCATAGGTTGCTTTTTAACTATTGATGATGTCTTAATATTTTAAATCAGTTCTTAATTTTACTGTGTTCCAGTTTATCATCAAATCTTTCTTTCCTTTGCCTCCTATTTAAGAAATATCTATTGGGGTGCCTGAGTGGCTTGGTTAAGCATCCAACATCGGCCCAGGTCATGATCTCACGGTTTGTGAGTATGAGCCCCATATCGGGCTCTGTGCTGACACTGTGAAGCCTGCTTGGGATTCCCTGTCTCCCTCTCTCTGCCCCTTCCACACACACTCTCTCTGTCAAAATAAATAAACTTTTAAAAAAGAGAAATATCTGCCTATTCCAAGCAAGGAAGTCATAATTTTCTTTATATTTTTGGTCTTACCTCTTTTATTTCTGCAATCATTCTACAATGATTTTGATTTTTGTATATAGTATGAGAATGAACCCATCTTTACTGAAAATTTGGTCCTTGACCCACTGCAGTCATTAGCATCATACACCAGGTGGCGCTGTCCTCTCCATTGGTCAGGTTTTTACTCAGCTCAAACCCAAAGGAGTTTAACTCTACTTACATAAAGTTCAAAAAACAGGCAAAACTCTTCTACAATGTGTAGGAGAGGGCGAAAAAAATCTTCCCTTGTACCTTTATAGGTTCTTGGATGGAGCTCTGTAACAAAAGGCAGAGTAACAAGAGAAAATATGCAATCGTAATGGATTTTTTTGACACCAGGGCCTTCATAAGGAAATGAAAACACAAAGAAGTTAGCCTAGGCATTTTTATGCTAGGTTTCAGGAAGAGTAGTGGGAAAATGTGATAGGACAAATGAATATGAGTTTAAGGGTCGTAAACTGAGGGAAATCGAGTGATCCTATTCATTTGGACTCTGGGTATATCACTTGAGCATCTTATGATCTGATTCAGTGGAAGGTCAGAGAGTCCTTCCTGAACATGCTGTTTCTCACATCCCTTCATCTTAACATATCCAATGTGCTAAGGTGCCGTATTTTAGGGCAGTTGTATTCTGAACCCTATCACATATTACAAGAATTCATAACAGGGTTTTTTCTTGGAGGATAAGGGGTTGTAGTGACAAGAACAATGAGAGAGGCTTCTGGGTTTCTGGTAATTTTCTTTTTAGAAAACCTGGGTAGCAATTGCATAGGCATGTACCCTTTGTGGACGTTTTTTATGATTTGTGCATAGGTGTGTTCAGTTTTAAAATTTGTTCACAGGGGTGCCTGGGTGGCTCTGGCTGTTAAGTGTCTGATTCTTGATTTCAGCTCAGGTCATGATCCCAGGGTCGTGGCTCTGTGCTGAGTGTGGGACCTGCTTAAGATTCTCTCTCTCCCTCTCCTCCTCCCCTGCTCACATGTGCCCACTCTAAACAAACAAACAAATAAATAAATAAATAAATAAAATTTAGTCCCAGACTTTCTGAATGTTTGTTATACTTCAACAAATGATTTTTATTTATTTTTTTAACATTTTTAAAAGTGTTTTATTTATTTATGAGAGACAGAGAGAGACAGGTGAGCAGGAGAGGGTCAGAAACAGGCTCCAGGCTCTGAGCTAGCTGTCAGCACAGAGCCCGACATGGGGCTTCAACCCATAAACAGTGAGATCATGACCTAAGCCGAAGTCAGACACTTAGCCGACTGAGCCACCCAGGCGCCCCTCAACAAATGATTTTTAAAATAAATAAAAGTCCACTTTAACGACGTCTTTCTGGCTTTGCTAGGCAGTGTGAATAACTGACTAAAAGCCATTTACCCAGGCTGTGTGTGTGTGTGGGGGGGGGGTGTTACCAGGATTAACTCTTCAATTGTGAAAATCAATAAAAGGAAGCTTCATTTAGAATGGAATCTGGAAGGTGGGGAGTCAAAGGGGTACTCTCAGCCCCATCCTTCATTGTCAGTTGCAGACGAGACAAGAAGAGAGGCACCTTGCAAGTTGATACCACTTTACTATCCCTGCAAGAAGGTAAAAGGTTTTCTCTTTTGTCAACAACCCGGCCAATGAGAGACTGTTACCACTCAGCCAATGAAAAGCCATTATACTTTAAAACACCAGTTTATGCTCATGGATGTTTTGTTTATGACAGCCTTCCCAACTTCCTGTTTTCCTTTATCTAAGAGCATTTTCTTCTTTGTTCTGTGGACTCCTTAGCTTATCTGTCCAGGATTGCAATTCTCTGCTATTCCCAAATAAATCCCCACTCCCTTTTTTGCTGCTAAAATAACTGACAGTTTAATTTTTAAGGCTAACATAATATATTTTTAAGGTTACTTATTTAAAGAGAGAGACTCCAAAGCAGGCTCCATGCTGTCAGCACAGAGCCTAACATGGGGCTTGAACTCAGGAATTGAGAGATCATGACGTGAGCCAAAATCAAGAGTCGGTCACTCAACCAACTGAACCACCATTGTGCTCCAGATTAACATAATATTCTATCTCCCTACAGTAATCCTAATCCTATCTTTATATAGAAACACAATGTACGTGAAGTTTTTTCCAACTTTCAGGGTGCTATTTTCCTTAATAGTACTTCCCACTGTTTGAGGAATATTGCAGAATCATCCTACTCTTAATTTTGAAGAGTTAGGTGAATGATATTTCCCCCCTTCATTCATTCCATCAATTAATTCTTGTGAGTTTACTGAGATTCAGCACTGATTAGACAAGCTGATCCTGACCCAGCATTGTTTACTGATTTTAAATACCCAGTTTCTGGTTTTATGCTCCCAGGTCCTGCCTAAATCCTAACTGAATCTTTTTCCTTTTTTCCTCCTCTGTGCTGGCTCCAGATCTTTAAGATGTGACTCTTTACCCTCTCTGGAAATTCTCTGGAGTTCCCCCAGTCTTGACCTTAAGCATCCTCTGCCCCATATCTTTCCATCTTTGCTTGCCTCTCCGCAAGTGGGCTTGTTCTGTGCCTTTTGTGTGTGTGTGTGTGTGTGTGTGTGTGTGTGTGTGTATGTGTTCAGTGTCCTTCTTGACCCTCTACAACAAGTAGAGGTATCTACAAGTAATCAGAATTACTTACTTTTCCCATTTGAGTCCCACAATTTAGAAGACAGCTCATTTACACGGAAGGGACAGACTATAGGCAACATACCGAAGTTGCCTGCCTCGGTGGAATTGGGATTAGAACTCACGTTAAGAGGCAGCCATGGACTGCTTTGCACTCCTCCTGAGCTCACCTTGCCCAGATAAATGCCCTCACTTGGCAGCTGGGTCCCCTAACTTTCTGGCTCAGGTATTATAAAAGAGGAACACAAAACGCTAACCTGGACTTTTCCAAGTCCCGCCACTACCTCTCTTGACTCTGGAACAAGGAAAATTTTTTTTTTTGGCAAAGTGATCAGGCTCTGGGGTGACGGTCAAGGTAGAATGGAACATTCACTGGTGGACAGAAGAGACAAATCAAAGGGTTGAAGCTGTTGCCAAGATTTACAGTGGTCAGGTGGAAAGATGGGGTTGCTATAATTTATTTATTATTGAGAAACAGAGAGAGACAGATCATGAGCATGGGAGGGGCAGAGAGAGGGGGAGACAGAGAATCCGAAACAGGCTTCAGGCTCTGAGCTGTCAGCACAGAGCCTTATGTGGGGCTCGAACCTACAAGCAGTGAGATCATGACCTGAGCCAAAGTTGGACGCTAAACCAACTGAGCCTCCCAGGCGCCCCTAAAATTTGTTTTCATGTTTATTTTTGAGAGACAGAGACAGAGCATGGGGGGGGGGCGCAGAGAGAGAGGGAGACACAGAATCCGAAGTAGCCTCCAGGCTCCAAGCTGTCAGCACTGAGCCCGTCCGGGGCTTGAAACCCACAAACTGGGAGAGATCATGATCTGAGCTGAAGTCGGAAGCTTAACCGACTGAGCCACCCAGGCACCCCTTTAAGGTGTCTATAAAATATCCAAGTGGAGACAGCAAGTCTCATACCTCTTTAATGTAGGGTAGAGGTGTGGGGCTGAGGGTGAAAATTTGAGCCTTGAGTGTATAAACAGTACTAACACGGTGAGATTCGCTGCTACTACCGAGAGAATGATTATAAGACTAAAAGAAACCTGAGAACTGAGTCATGAGACACCGGAACAATTAGAAGTTGGGAAATGTGGATCGTTAGACTCCACTTGGGCACCACCGGAATAACCGTCAAAACTCAAAAACTACATCTCCCAGAATCCTCTCTGCCCCACGCTTCCGAGTTAGAGGCCGCCTTTCAAGTCCCGCGAGATTTAGAAGGCGGAAGTGAAGCGGAAGCCATTGCTCTGGGGAGGCGATTGCGGCTATACACATGGGCAGAGGAGGTGTCCATCGCGGCTTCCTCCCAGCTGCTGGGGGCTCTTCGCTTCCCCGCTGCAGACTGCACCTGCTGTATGAACTTGGCGTTCCTTCAGCGGCAGCTTCCGTGACCTCCATTCCACCCAGTTCTAACGTCAGCCTTGTAAGCCCCGCTTTCCTCACTTAACCCTTTACCCTCGGTCTTCCAGAGGACACGAAAGGCCAATAAGACAGGGCGGAGTAAATGGGGACAGGGACCCGGGACAGGAAAGCCAGGCAGCCAGGTGAGGAGTGTGCTTTAGACTCTCTGGTCAGCAGTGTGAAATGCTGGTACATGAGGACTGAAATTTAGGACCACTGTGTTTAGCACAACGGGGAGGCACTGGTGATCTGGTTTAAAAAAAAAAAGAAGACCCCTTGGGGTGGGGAGGGAGAAGCCCCGCGCAAGTGAATTCAGGACTTTATAGTGTCCGGAATGGGAGACCGAGAGGATAATACCTTCCTTTTGCTTTGAGGCCCATTTTATCCAATATTAATAGAGGCACACTGGCTTTCTATTAACATTTGTACTGTTAAATCTTATATATACGCTTTCAGTGCACTTATCTGTTATTTTAGTTGACTAGTGTTAACAGCCTGTAATTAGATATAAAAATTCATGTCAAGAAAAAAAAACCCCTTTGCGTCAACATTGTTATTTAACTTGAGAGTTAGTCCATTAATATTTATTGTAATTACTGTTTTGCACTGATTTTTTACCATCGTTCTGTGCTTGCTATTTATCCTTTTCCTTTAAAATATTTTTTAATTGGAATATAAAACATGTCAAAAAAGTATGAAAACACACATTCTCTTTGCAAAAAACAAAAAGTATGAAAACGTCCACACTCTTAAAAGGACATGGCGGGGGAGTGCTGGGTGGCTCAGTCAGTTAAGCATGGTACTTAGGCTCAGGTCATGATTTCACCGTTCCTGAGTTCCAGCCCTGCATCTGCTCTGTACTGACAGCTCAGTCTGGAGCCTGCTTAAGATTTTGCGTCCCTCTCTCGCTGTGCCCCTCCCCTGCTCATGCGCGCGCACTCTCCCTCTCAAGACTAAATAAACATTAAAAAATTTTTTAAAAAAAAAGGACAGGGGAGCCTGGGTGGCTTAGTCGGTTAAGCGTCTGACTTTCGCTTAGGTCATGATCTCGCGGTTCATGGGTTCGAGCCCGCGTCGGGCTCTGTGCTGACTGCCAGCTCAGAGCCTGGAGCCTATTTCAGAGTCTGTGACTCCCTCTCTCTCTGACCCTCCCCTGCTCACGCTGTCTCTCTCTCTCTCTCTCCCTCCCTCCCTCCCTCCTAGAAATAAATAAAACATTTAAAATAAAATAAATAAAAATTAAAAAAGGACAGACAGGCAGAGAAGAACAAATATCATATGTTTGCACGTATAGGAGGATTAGGAGGAACTTAACGGAGGACCATGGGGGAGAAGAAGGGGAGAAATAGTGGGGGGAGGGGGAGAGGCAAACCATGAGAGACTCTTGAATGCTGACAAAAACTGAGGACTGATGGATGTGGGGGAGGAGGGGAGGATGGTCACGGAGAGGGGCACTTGTGGGGATGAGCACTGGGTGTTATATGGAAACCAACTTGACAATAAACTATTTGTGTAAAAAAAAAAGTAATAATAATAAGCAAAAAAAAAAGGACGGAAATGAAGCAAGTCTGCAAACCAGACCAAGAAGGAGATTATGAGACATCCGAAACCTGTGTCGTCTCTCCTCACCCCCTCTCTCCCCATAATTTCCTTTATGGATTTTACTGCTTATATGTTTTTCCAAAAATGCATTTCCTCATTATGGTAACTATTTGTAAACGGACTCACACTCAAGTATTTTCAGTGACATTCTTTTTTCCATTAATGCAAGTATATTTTTTTTTATTAAAAAATTTTTTAGTGTTTATTTTTGAGAGAGGAAGAGACAGGTGTGAAAGGGGGAGGGTCAGAGAGAGAGAGAGGGAGACACAGAATATGAAGCAGGCTCTGAGTGGTCAGCAGACAGCCTAATGCAGGGCTGGAACTCACAAACCATGAGATCATGACCTGAGCCAAAGTCTGACACTTAACCACTGAACTACCCAGGTGCCCCTCCAAGTACGCTTTTTTTTTTTTTTAGTTTACATCCAAGTTAGTTAGCAGATAGTGTAACAAGGATTTCAGGAGTAGATTTCTTAATGCCCCTTACCCATTTAGCCCATCTCCCCTCCCAATCCCTCCAGCAACTCTCTGTTCTCTATATTTGAGTCTCTTATGTTTGTCCCCCTCCCTGTTTTTATATTATTTTTGCTTCCCTTCCCTTACATTCATCTGTTTTGTATCTTAAATTCCTCATATGAGTGAAGTCATAGGATCTTTGTCTTTCTCTGACTAATTACGCTTAGCACAATACCCTCTAGTTCCATCCACGTAGTTGCAAATGGCAAGATTCCATCCTTTTTGATTGCTGAGTAATAGTCCATTGCATATATATATGCCACATCTTCATCCATTCATCTGTCAATGGACATATGTGGTATGTTTCACTTCGTAAATATTTTTATTTATTTCCTTTTTGATTTTTCAGCTAGCACGAATTGCAGTTTCTTTTTGTACATTGATCTTTTTATCCAGTGACATTTATAAATTGAATTATTACTTGAATTATTATTCAGATAGTTTGTGGATTATTTTGGTTTTTCTGTGTATACAATCCTGTCAGTTATAAAAGAAAGTCTTATTGATTCTGTCCCTCTGCTGGGTGTGGAGCCCAATGCAGGGCTTCAGCTCATGACCTTGAGATCAAGAGTTGGGTGCTTAACTGACTGAGCCATCCAGGCACCCCAAATGTCTTAACTTGATTTCTAAACTTTTTTTTTTCGCCTATATTGCTTTACAGTGATGACAGGAAATGATGAACATGAACATCTGTCTCGTTCCTGATCTTAGAAATATGCCATATTTCATAAGTATAATAATAACTATAAGTTTTTCATAGATTACTTTTATTAATAATGAAGGGAGGGGGCATGTGGCTGGCTCAGTCAGATAAGCATCTGACTCTTTTTTTTTAATTTATTATTTTTTAAAAATTTACATTCCAGTCAGTTATCATATTGTGCAACAATGATTTCAGGAGTAGATTCCTTGATGCCCCTTCCCCATTTAGCCCCTCCCCCCTCCCACACCCCCTCCAGCAATCCTCTGTTTGTTCTCCCTATTTAAGAGTCTCTTAAGTTTCATCCCCCTCCCTGTTTTTACATTATTTTTGCTTCCCTTCCCTTATGTTCATCTGTTTTGTATCTTAAAGTCCTCATGAGTGAAGTCATAGGATATTTGTCTCTCTGACTAACTTCACTTAACATTATACCCTCTAGTTGTATCCACATAGTTGAAGTTGGCAAGATTTCATTCTTTTTGATTGCCGAGTAATACTCCATTGTATATATTACACCACAGCTTCTTTATCCACTCATCCATCAATGGACAATTGGGCTCTTTCCGTACTTTGACTACTGTCGATAGCGCTGCTATAAACTTTGGGGTGCATGTGTCTCTTCAAAACAACACACCTGTATCCCTTGGATAAATACCTAGTAGTGCAGTTGCTGGGTCGTAGGGTAGTTCTATTTATAATTTTTTGAGGAACCTCCATACTGTTTTCCAGAGCGGCCGCACCAGTTTGCATTCCCACCCGCAGTGCAACAGAGATGCTCTCTCTCCGCATCCTCGCCAGCATCTGTTTTTGCCTGAGTTGTTGATGTTAGCCATTCTGATGGGTGTGAGGTGGTATCTCCTTAGGCTTTGATTTGTATTTCCCTGATGATGATGATGTTGAGCATTTTTTTCTTGCATTATATCTCTTTTCATTATGTAATACCTCAGTTTTCTCTATGAACCTTTTTGCTTTAATCCTTTCTGTAGCGTACTAATGTATTTAAACCAGCTTTTAAAAAAAAGGGATTCAAGCCCCGCATCTTGAGCTGTTAGCACAGAGCCTGGAGTCTCCTTCAGATTCTGTGTCTCCCTCTCTCTCTGCCCCTTCCCTGCTCATGCTCTGTGTCTCTCAAAACTAATTAAACATAAAAAAGTAAGGATGTGCCCTGTATATCTTGTTTTTATTTCCATTCTTGCTATACCTTTATGTTTTTTATTTAAAAAAATTTTTTAATGTTTATTTGTTTTTGAGAGAGAAAGAGACAGAGCGCTAGCAGGAGAGGGGCAGAGAGAGGGACACATAGAAACCAAAGCAGGCTCTGGGATCTGAGCTGTCAGCACAGAGCCTGATGTGGGGCTCAAACCCATGAACTGTGAGATCATGACCTGAGCCGAGGTCCAGCACTTAACCGACTGAGCCCCCCAGGTGCCCTATACCTTTATGTTTTAGATGTTTCTTGTAAACAGCATATAACTGGATTGTCATAAAACCTATTTTGAGAATATCTGTATTTTAGTGGAAGCATTTAGTCTATTGCGTTAACATATTTGCCTGTGTCTATTTTTTCTTTCCTCTAGCTTTCTTTGATTTGAATATTTTTTTTATTTCACTTTTTTTCCTCTGTACATTTTGATTTTATTTCCATATTTGTTTACCCTGAAGAGGTCAGCCTAGAAGGGAGGGCAGACTTCTCCTTGTTTGTAATAGGAGAGGAGGAGAATATCACAGATCAGTTTGGGGAGGAATTTTGTTAGAACTTTTATAGAGACCAGAAAGTTAGAAAGACTCCTTTTAAGTGTTTATTTTTTTATATTTTTTTATTTTAATCTTTTTTAAATGTTTATTTATTTTTGAGAAAGAGACAGAGTGTGAGTGGGGGAGGATCAGAGAGAGAGGGAGACACAGAATCTGAAACAGGCTCCAGGCTCTGAGCTAGCTGTCAGCACAGAGCCTCATGCAGGGCTCGAACCCACAGACTGTGAGATCATGACCTGAGCCAAAGTCAGACGCTTAACCGACTGAGCCACCCAGGCGCCCCCTACAAATATATTTTTAAAGTTTATCTTGTGAGACAGAGAGAAAGCATGCACATGTGCGCACATGAGTGGGGGTGAGGGGTAGAGGGGAGAAGAGAGAGAATCCCAAACAGGCTCTGCACACTGTCAGCATGGAGCCCAACACAGGGGCTCGATCCCATGATCCACGAGATGGTGACCTGAGCTGAAATCAAGGGCCAGATGCTCAACTGACTGAGCCACCCAGGCGCCCCTAGACTACAAGTATTTTTTCCCAATCTGTGGCTTGCCTATTCATGTTTTTAAGGTTTATAGCAGCCTTTATTCATAATTGTCCAGCTTTTTTTTTAATTGAGGTATAATCGACATAGCATGTTTTAGGAGTATAGTATGATGATTTGATATTTGTGTGTATTCCAGAATGCACACCACAATAAGTTTGTAATTACCATTGTCACCATACAGAGTTACAGTTTTTTCCTTGTGATGAGAACTTTCAAGATCTACGCTCCCAGCTACTTTCTTTTTTCCCCTTGAAGTGTAACTACCAAAATGTTACAGTAGTTTGGGTATAAAAGCCTAGGCTGTGCTCACCACAAGTGTCGCTGCCATCTGTCACCACACAATGTGTGACAGCATCTTTGATTATGTTCGCTGTGTCGTGCCCTTCCCTAGCGACTTTTAAACATACACGACAGTATTATTAACTGTCGTCACATGCTGTGCATTGTATCACCATGACTTATTCATCTTATGATTGGAAATGTGTACCTTTTGACCCATTTCACCCACCCTCTGCCTCAGGCAATCTTTTCTCTGTATCCATGACCTGTTTTGTTTTTTAAGATTCCACATAGAAGTAAAAATGTATGTATGACATTTAACTCTTTGTGTCTGATTTATTTCACTGCACAGCGCCCTCAAGGTGAATTCATGCTGCAAATGGCTAGAGTTCATTTTTTTCTTTTAAAGTTTATTTGTTTATTTTGAGAAGGAGAGAGAGAATCCCAAGCAGACTCCACACTGTCATTGCAGAGCCCAACGTGGGACTCCATCTCATGGACCATGAGATCATGACCTGAGCTAAAATCAAGAGTTGGACGCTTCACCCACTGAACCACCCAGGCACCCCACTTGTAGGATTCTTTTATGTATTTTGGACATTAACTCCTTATCAGATATATGAGTTGCAAGTATTTTTTTCTGTTAGGTAGGTTGCCTCTTCATTTAAAATTTTAAAAAAAAATTTTTTAAGACAGAATATGAGCGGGGGAGGGACAGAAAGAGACGGAGACACAGAATCTGAAGCAGGCTCCAGGCTCTGAGCTGTCAGCATAGAGCCTGACACGGGGCTTAAACTCACGAACAATGAGATCATGACCTGAGCCGAAGTGGGGTGCTTAGCCGTTCAGTACCATTTATTAAGAAGGCTGCTTTCCCTGCTGAATTGCTTTGTCCTCTTAGTGAAAATCATTTGTACACATGTAGGTTGGTTTCTCATTCTGTTCTCTTCCAATGACCTATTTGTCTGTTACTTATTCCATTCATTAGTGTGATGCTGTTAGTAGTGCAAATCCTCCACATTTGTTTTTTTCTTTCTTAACATTGTTCCCGCTCCTCCAGATCTTTTGCATTTTGGTTTACATTTTAGATTTGGTTTGTCAACTCCTGGGAAAAAAAGCCTGCTGGGATTTTGTAGGGACCATGTTGTATTGGCAGGTGAACTTAGGGAGAACAAGCACTGCCTTAGTAAAGACTCTTGCTGGGTTATTTAGGTCTTTAATTTCTTTCCACAGTGTTTCACAATTTTGTTGTCAAGGTCTCAACACCGTTTTTTTTTGTTTTTTTTTTATTTAATATTTTTATTTATTTCTAGGAGAGAGAGAGACAGCGAGAGCAGGGGAGGGCCAGAGAGAGAGGGAGACACAGACACTGAAATAGGCTCCAGGCTCTGAGCTGGCAGTCAGCACAGAGCCCGACGTGGGGCTCGAACCCAAGAACCGCAAGATCATGACCCAAGTGAAAGTTGGACGCCCAACAGACCAAGCCACCCAGGCGCCCCCTAACACCGTTTTTAATTGATAAATGCGCCCCCCCCTTTTTTTAGTTTTATGTTCTAGTTCTTTGCTGAGGTATATTTTTTATTAGAGATTACTGTGAAATGAAAATAAGATTATTTGCTGAAAATAAGAGTAATGAAGAGACTGTTTTTGATTCAGGAAAAACTGGTGAGATATGTACATGGTTTTTAGGCCACTGGAAGGTCAGGTTGCCTAGTATGCATTTCTTTTCTTTTTTTTTTAATTTTTTAATGTTTTTTACTTATTTCTGAGAGAGAGAGAGAGAGAGAGTGTGTGAGCAGGGGAGGGTCAGAGAGAGAGGGAGACACAGAATCTGAAGCAGGCTCCAGGCTCTGAGCTGTCAGCACAGAGCCCGATGTGGGACTTGAACCCACGAACCACAAGATCATGACCTGAGCTGAAGTCGGATGCTCAACCGACTGAGCCACCCAGGTGCCCCTATACGTGTTTCTTGAATATAAATACTCCTTTTGCAGCTGAGTTTGGGAGTTTACTGGTTGTGCATGGACTGGTCTTGCCACTGACCTTCAGAGAGGAAGCGAATGGTTGGAATCATCCAAGGTTGGTCTTTGGTTGGTAGGAATTCTAATGGGCAGAGAGTCATAGAAGTCATAGATTGTGAAAATGACTTCTAGCTAGGTAGGCGGGGCAGTGCAAGGAGGAATTTGCTGTCAGGGAGCAAGATGGTAGCAGCATAGGTGGCCTGGAATTCTCTCTCAAGTGAGAGAGTTCGTATGAGAAGAGTGTTGGGGAGGAGGCTTTGTTCAGGGACATTTCTGAATCCTTGCCTGCGAGGTGAGCTGATTTCAGTGATGACCAGGCCTGGGCTGTGGCCAGTGTGTGTTGGTGTGGCATGAGTGTCCAGAAGGCACTGGAGGTTGGAACACGTGGTTCTAGGTGGGCAGTCCCTGGGGCTTCTGGGACTGCCCTAAAGCATGGTGAGCCTTGAAGTTGAAAGGAAGGACAGAAGCCTGGAGCCCAAGTGTTTAGCAAGTTACGGAGTCTGGTGGAGTTGTGCTTGGCAACAGATTACATGGGAGAGTGGATCTGAATCTTTTTGAGGCTCATCAGGGACCTTCCCCACGTTGCCCAGAGGACTCGCCTGGGTAAGACAGAGGCCCAGGATCAGACAGAACTTGCTGCTCCAAAGAAGAGATGGTACAAATCAAAATCAAAATAAGGGGCGCCTGGGTGGCCTAGTCGTTAAGCGTCCAACTTTCGCTTAGATCATGATCTTGCGGTTCGTGGGTTCGAGCCCCGCGTCGGGCTCGTGCTGACTGCCAGCTCAGAGCCTGGAGCCTGTTTCAGAGTATGTGTCTCCCTCTCTCTCTGACCCTCCCCTGCTCACGCTGTCTCTCTCTCTCTCTCTCTCTCTCTCCCCTAGAAATAAATTTAAAAAAAAAAAACAAAAAAAAATCAAAATTTTCCTGTTTCTGATTGACTATAGATGGCTGCTACAAGAGTCTCGTGACCGCCAGAGGGAAGCTTCCTGCTGCCAGTGCCCTGTTCAAGCAGATTGACTGTCGTTCTCACAGGATGGCAGCTCTTGGTCTGTCTCCCACGTGCGGTAAGTTCCTGGGGCGATGAACGAGTGCCCTCAGAAGTCATGCGTAAGTGGCCCCTGGACTTCACGGAGATCAGGGGTGTGCATGGCTAGAGGGAGGCCTGTCAGGGAGGGCTGAGGGACTGGCAAGGGGTGGGAGCAGAGTCCGGGGAGCCTCCCAGGTGACCGTGTCTGATTGGTGAGTTTGGGCAAAGGAGGGATTGTGTGTGGTTGGTGTGTAAGGAAAGACAGGTCCTAGGTAACCCTGTGTTATCTATTTAGTATTATTGTTATTATTATTATTATTAAATATTTTATTTGTAAGTAATCTCCACCCCCAACATGAAGCTCAGACTGATAACCCTGACATCAAGAGTCACGTGCTCCATTGACTGAGCCCGCCAGGTGCCCCTATGTATTTTTCTTTAGCTCTATTTATTATTTATCCAGTATTGTGAAAAATCTGAGCAGAGAACCACTCTACCTCTTAGAGCTTTAATTTCTTCACTCATTGGTTGAGAACATGAATCGCTTTCTTTACGGGTGTGTAAGTCCGCCGTCCTTTCCCTGGTCCCTGCGCGGGGCAGGGCTCCTCTGGCTTGTTACAAGACACTGTGTGGGAGAGACAGACGGGCGTTTTCCCGCCCTGTGAGTGTCAGGCAGGCTTTAATCCTCATGGATCCGCTCCCCTCCAGCTGTGACCACCCGGGACCCTGTCTGTATCCAGGAGTCACAGAGTCCTCCTTCCAAAGACCATTCCTGCCCCCAGGATGTGGACCTGTTCACTTGCAGTGGCCTGGAGCCTCCTATGCCAACCAGTGTGGGTTCTCAGGTACAAGATCTCCGGGCCCCTGGGGGTGGGAGAGGCACTTCCCCAGGTGCCCCCAGTACCACCAGGCTGATCACTGCCTGATCAGGCACAGGAGAAAAGGCCCGAGACTGTTGTCTGTCCTGGTATATCAGGGGCGTAATAGGAAATGACTTCTGTAGCAGGTATTTCTCTCATTATACAGCCCAAAATGCTCAGGCCAGGCTAGGAGTGGAGACAGATTTGGCCCCAGGTCAGCCATGTTGCCTTTGAAAGCGATGAGATCACCTCCTAGTGAAGAGTCCCCAGAATCCCATCTGAACGTCCTGGGTTTGGGGCCTCTCGTGTCCGGCCTCTGCCATCTTTCTGTGAAAACAGATGGGCTGGTTTCTTACTGACCCCAAATATGTGTGGTGATTCAGGAGTCAGTGACTTTCCAGGATGTTGCCGTGGACTTCACTGAGAAGGAATGGCCCTTGCTGGACTCTTCTCAGAGAAAACTGTACAAAGATGTGATGTTAGAGAACTACAGCAACCTCGCCTCAGTGGGTAAGGCTGGGCTCCTTGCTCTCTTCGTGTGCCGGGTGTTTTTGTTTTAAGTACTTGCTGTGACCTGGGGACTGTGGGGATTTGGAACACAGCTGATGCCTCTCCCCACCCCACCCCCACGATGTCTGCCAGTGGTTGCTGAGACCTGTCTGTTGCATTGACCTTGGAGGTCGGCAAGTGTGTCTGAGCCTGGGCATAGGTTTCTGAGTTGAGCAATCTGAATTCTTTTGAAGGGCAAAGCGTGTGGGTATTTGTGGCTTTGTGTTTTCTGAAAGCGTTTCACTGTGTTTCTTAGACATTTGGCACCACCATTTCGCTGCTCCTAAGTCAGACTTGTCCACCTTCAGAACACTGAAGACCAAAACATTGACCCCAGTCTAACGGAAGGGGTTGTCCTCTGCACGGCCCTCCCCCAACATGTGTCTTTCCCCGTGAGTAGGGTATCAGGTGGGCAAACCCAGCCTCATCTCCCACTTGGAGCAAGAAGAGGAGCTGAGGACAGAGGAGAGGGGACTTCACAGAGCCTCATGTCCCGGTAAGCGCCAGGCAGTCCCGGGTGCTTCTGGTGCCTGCTTTATTCAGTGACGCTGGGGAGGGAGGTCCGTGGGGAAGTGTCACCCAGGGAAATTTGAGAACGCTCCTTCTCCGCTCTGTCACAAGTCCGTTGGTCTCACTGGCCTCTCCTCTGTACGTAAGTCTGTGTTTCTTCCTTTTTTCTTCCCTTTATCTACCTGCCAACTCACTTCTTCACTCACTCATTTATTTACTTTCTGTTGAGACATAACTGACATAACACTGTGTGTGTCTCAGCCGTGCAACATAGTGACTCCGTGTTTGTATGTATCGCAAAGTGATCACCACAGTAAACCTGATTAACATCCGTCACCATAATGATACAAAAAACTTTCTCTTGTGATGGGAACTTTTAAGATTCAGGGGCACTTGGGTGGCTCAGTCGGTTAAGCATCCGACTTTGGCTCAGGTCATGACCTCACGGTTCATGGGTTCGAGGCCCACGTTGGGCTCTGTGCTGACAGCTCAAGCCTGGAGCCTGATTCAGATTCTGTGTCTCCCTCTCTCTCTGACCCTCCCCTGCTCACGCTGTCTCTCTCTGTCTCAGAAATAAATAAATAAATAAATAAATATTACTAAAAAAATAAGTAAACATTAAAAAAATTTTTAAAGAATTTACTGTCTTAACTTTATTTTTAAGTTTATTTATTTTGAGAGAGAGAGAACAAATGGGGGAGGGGTGAGAGAAAGAGAGAGGGAGAGAGAATCCCAAGTGGACTCTGCACTATCAGCACAGACCATGACCTGAGCAGAAATCAAGAGTCAGACGTTTAACCAGCTGAGCCTCCCCCATTCCCCTCTTCACAGCTCTCAGTATGATACAGTCTTACTGACTGTAGCCACCATGCCGAACGTTACACGTTATAGCTCAGGACTGGCCTGTTTCCCAATGGGAAGTTTGTACCTTTTGATCCCCTTCACACCTATTTTGCCCACCCACCAACTCTGACAACCACCATAATCTGTTCTCTGTATCCATGAGCTCACTTGTTTCTTTGGGGGGGTGGGGAGGTTGTTTTTATTTTAGATTCCACACAAAAGTGAGATCATGCAGTCTGTTGGTCTGTCTTAACATTTATGCCTTCAGGGCCCATCTGTGTAGTTAGTTGAATGAGAAAATTTCCCTTTTTTTTTTTTTTTTTTAAGGCTGAATAATATTCCACTGTGTGTGTATACCACGCTTTCTTTATTCATCTGTCAAAGGACACTTAGATTGCTTCCATGCCTCGGCTCTTGTAGATAATGCTGCTGTGAACGTGGGAGTGTGGATCTCTCTTCAGGGTAGTGTTTTCGCTTCGTTTGGGTAAATCCCCAGAAGCAGAATTGCTGGGCTTCATGTGTGAACTTGACCTGTCCACGTGAGCTTTGTCCTGTTCCTTCGGCCTCCACACCCCCGGTTGCACCCTTCCCTTGTTACCAGTGTCAGTCTTTGAGGAATCGTTCCTCAGTGGGTCAGGTGAAACGTCTCGTCCGCTGTGGCCAGGCATCTCGCAGGCAGCTTTACTCCCGTGTGTGCTCTGCCCTTTGACGTTGCCTTTCCTTCGGGGTTAGTTTTGCAAAGAAATCCCCCTGCTTTCATCAGCTGTCGTATCACCCCTTTCTTTCTCCAGCCAGTGTTCTTTCCTCGGGTTAATACTTTCCCAATTTGTTGCAGATTGGGAGACTCCATCTAAAAGCAAGTGGTCCATTCTCATGCAAGACATTTTTGGGAAGGAAACATCCCGTGCTGTGACAGTGGTAAGGTTTCCTTGGGATGATCCCCGGTCTTCCAGACGGGAGAAGGCTGGGGCAGCCTGTTAGAAAGGCAGCTCAGGAGCCAGTGAGTGGCATTCCCTGAGGGGCACCTGTTTGAGATGCTGTTTCCCACAGCTGTGGGGGAAAGCCCTAAACCTAGCCTCACATTTCTTCCCTTAGGTGTGCCTCACATAATGAGTGTTGGCTCAATTCAGGTTTAAACAGTAAACAAAGCTTTGTGAACGTTACACCTGTGGGGCCTGAGGGCATAGCCTCCCCTGTTTCATTTGCTATACCCCAAACGGGGCAGGAATAGTCCATTTGCACTGCCAGTCACAACATTGGTCATCAGGGCGTGCTTCTACTCCTGCGAGTGTACGTGGGGAGGACTGGATGTTTCTTAGGGGCGTGGGGAGCTGTGGGAAATGCCCTGGTCACTCCTCTCTCGACAGGAAAGAACGCGTCTGGCGGAGAAACCCGCCGAGTACACTCACCTGTTTGAAGTCTTCAGCATGGGCACTCCCCTTACCCAGCAGATGGGAAGGCACCCTGGCAAGAGGCCCTATCATCGGCGGGACTGTGGGGCGGCCTTTAAGAACAGGTCACATCTAACCCAGCACGTGAGCGTTTACAACGGCCGAAAAATGCACGAATGCCACCAGTGCCAAAAAGCCTTCACGACAAGCGCTTCCCTCACGCGGCACCGGAGGATCCACACAGGGGAGAAGCCCTACGAGTGCAGCGCCTGCGGGAAGGCCTTCAATGATCCCTCCGCCCTTCGGAGTCACGCGCGAACTCACCTCACGGAGAAGCCCTTCGACTGCAGTCAGTGCGGAAATGCCTTCCGAACCCTCTCGTCCCTGAAGATACACATGAGAGTTCACACCGGCGAGAGGCCGTACAAGTGTGAGGAGTGTGGGAAGGCATACGGCAGGAGCTGCCACCTCATTGCGCACAAACGGACCCACACTGGAGAGCGGCCGTACGAATGTCACGACTGTGGGAAAGCCTTCCAGCATCCCTCTCACCTCAAAGAGCATGTCCGCAATCACACTGGAGAGAAACCCTATGAGTGCACGCAGTGTGGGAAAGCCTTCCGATGGAAGTCGAACTTCAACTTGCACAAGAAGAACCACATGGTGGAGAAAACGTACGAGTGCAAAGAATGTGGGAAATCCTTCGGCGATCTCTTGTCCCGGAGGAAACACATGAGGATTCATATCGTGAAGAAACCCATCGAATGTAGACAGTGCGGGAAGGCGTTCCGAAACCAGTCCATCCTGAAGACGCACATGAATTCTCACACCGGAGAGAAGCCGTATGGGTGTGATCTGTGTGGGAAAGCCTTCAGCGCGAGCTCAAACCTGACCACGCACAGGAAAATACACACTCAGGAGAGACGTTACGAGTGTGCTGTCTGCGGTAAGGTGTTCGGGGATTACTTGTCCCGGAGGAGGCACATGAGCTCTCATCTCGTAAAGAAGCGTGTCGAGTGCAGGCAGTGTGGGAAGGCCTTCAGAAACCAGTCCACCCTCAAGACACACATGAGAAGTCACACGGGAGAGAAGCCGTACGAGTGCGACCACTGTGGGAAAGCCTTCAGCATAGGCTCAAACCTGAACGTGCACAGGCGGATACACACCGGGGAGAAGCCCTACGAGTGCCTGGCCTGCGGGAAGGCCTTCAGTGATCACTCATCCCTTCGCAGTCATGTGAAAACTCACCGGGGAGAGAAGCTCTTTGTGTCGTCTGTGTGGAAAAGGCTCCAGTGACGCGTCTTCCTTCAGGGAAACACGACAGCTCAGCCAGGGGGGGAGACCTCACTGGCGTAAGGAAGGCAGGAGCACTTTGATGAACTCAGCTGGGCACAAAAGAATACATGCACCAGGAGATACCCAGTTGGTGTCATGGCGGGGAAAGACTTATTTTTCCTCATCACCGTGGGCCTTCGTGAGAATTCATGCTGGGGGGTAAAACCTATACCTGTGGTATGCAGAAGTCAGGTGTGCATTCAGCTCTTAAAAAAAAAAAAAGAGAACTTAGGGAGAGAAGCCGTAGCTTGGTATTTAATGTCAAAATGACCTTAGTGCCACCCGGCACCTTCTGGGCATACAAGCGAGCACACCAGGGAGAATCTGTAAACTCCCTGATTGGGCAAAACTTAACTGGTCTCACACCGTATTCTTGATGAAAGAAATCATACAAAAGAAAAACCTATAAAGTAGGAATGTGGGAAAGTCTATAAGAGAGGTCAGCAAACTGGCCGACTGTCTATTTTTGTATGGCTTGCAAGTTAAGAATAGCTGATAACGTTTTTAAAGAAGAAAAACATGTGACAGACACCCCGTGTGACTCACAGAGCCTAAAATACCCACTTTCTGGCCCTTTACAGAAAACCCCCGCCTACCCCGAGGTCTACAGCCACAGTTCTAATCCCGGGGTGGGGTGGGGCGGATTTTGCATCTCCGGAGACATTTTTGGTTGTGAAAGCTGGAGGAGGAGGGGTGCTACTGGCACGTAATGCCTGGAAGCCCCTACGGCAGAGAATTATGTGGCCCCAAATGTCAGCATTGTTGAGGTTCGGAAACTGTAGCCTGCAACAATCGCTTAGTTTTTATGAAACATACTCCCACCAGGAGAGATTTCTATTTAAAACTCCAGAAAAATCCAGTCAGTGAAATTCTTTCAGGAAATGCAAGACCCCACACTGCAGACAGGCCGCATGTGGAGATGATTTTAGCCGCAGCCCCCTACTTGTGCTCATGAGAAGTCATACCCTGATAGAATTTTCTAGTGAATCATGAAATTGCCTTTGTCAGTCTTTCATCATGAAAACAGACCCCTAGCTCATTGATTTGTAGTCTTTATTTTTAAGATGATGCTCCTCTAACACTTCTGCTTCATCACAGAAGGTCTGTATATAGTATTCTTATAATTCCATCCTTGATGTGTGTGCATTTCCTTTTGGAGAACTCCCTTGACCAGTGGACTGTGCATTGTGTTACATACTGTGTAACATGGGTATTTTTAGTACCCGTTTGTTATGAGTGTCTGAGTCAGATGCATTGCTGTCAGGGCATGATATCTTCATCAGATGGATCCTCTGAAATGTTATGGGCCTCCTGTCCCTCCAAGAGTGACAGACGCTTCTCGTTGCTCCCCCCGTGTCTCATCTTTCACATCAAGAAACTCCGACATTTGTCAGATTACTAAGGTATCCCATTTTTGGAAGCCTCTTATGAGTTTTCCGCAACTATGACAGTCCTTATGTCACAGCCTAGCCACTGACCGATGAGCAGATGTCACTGTGTGGGCTGTGACAAGAGGGCTCTTGAAAAGGGACTTTTCTTCCCCACATTCTTCTACAGATTTTGTTTTTGCTCTTTTCCCTGCTTCTCACCTTGCAAGGAGATCAAGTACCTAGTGTTCAAAGATCTGTCTTGTGACCACGAGGCTGCAAGCCACAGGCAAGAAGAGGGTCCTGCAGAAAAGTCACAGTGATCCTGGCCTCCCCAGTCGCTTCTTTGTCTACACTAGCCATGGATATGTTACTTCCAGACTTCCTATTACATGAGAAAAAAGCAAAATAAAACTGATTATTGGCTTAAGCTGCTTTGGACATTTCATTTATGTTTATCAGTTTAGTAATTTTTTTTATTGGTGGGGGGAGCGTTCTGTTACTCCCGAGTGGATGCGATCTGTAATACAGGCATCGAGTCATCAGTAGGTTTTGTAGCTGCTGTGGGAGGGGGGAGTATAATCTGCTTGTTGTTGGTTGAACTGCTTCAACTGAACAGCAGTTGGTTAACTGCTGTTAATGGTTGAATATGGACTTTGTTTTGTTTTTACATCTTTAAGCCATATTTTAAGATTGTATTTCAAATCTTTGAGATACTTAAGTATTTATTTTCTTGACTTGAAGTGAACGTCTTAGTCTTTCTAGAAGCCATGAGAAGCAAGTACCGTCACAATCTTCCTTTTGCATATGGAGAATCTAAGGCAAGCAATGTTCAACCGCTTGACTGAGGTCAACCCCCAGACAAGTAATAGTTCTTGCATTTGAGCCCACACTTCTTTGTCGAGCCCTGTTCTGTCTGTCCCACATCTAGAGCAATGGATTGGGAATTTTGCCTTCATGACGCTTTCATTCTGCTTAGGGTAAGGCACCCGATGGACAAATGAGTCAGTAAATACATTGTATACCGCATGCTGGTTAACAGTGGAGGAAGGGCTAAGCACGGTGATGAAGAGACAGAACCTGGGTGTTCAGCAGAGCTATTGGGTGGGTGGAGAATGCCTTCAACTAAGGGGGCATTTGAGCAGAGATGTACATGAACTGGGATGACTCCATGTTGTAATCTGGGGTGGAGCACCCTTGGCACTTCAAAGGCCATGAAAAAAAAAAAACTGCTTGGGGCATCCATGCAGTAGCACAAGGGCCGGTGTGGACGGAGTGGAACAAGCTTGGGAGTCACAAGATGATGAGGCTAGAGCTGCGTCAGGGTCCGGTTCAAGGGGGTGCCTTGTGGGTTTGCTGGAAGGACTTTTTTTTATTCTCCCACATGGTAGGAAGTCCGTGGAGGGTTCTGAACCGAGGGGTTGGCAACTGTGTCATTTGTGTTTGAATCCCTGGCTTCTGGGCTTACAGGCTAAGGAAGGACAAGTGCAAACAAGGCTGTGAGGAAGCTCTTGCAGAATTCAAGGTAGAAACAGCAGTGGCCAGATGAGTAGTAGTGGGGGAGGCCTGAGAATCGCATTGATGAATGCAGCTGCAGTTTTCCCTTCCGGATAGTGGTCTTTTGTGTTCCCCTGCAGTGTACCTTTTCTGTTGCCGGTGTACAGTTATTTCCATTCTTGCCAGTTATGAACGATGCTGCTTTAAGAAGTTTCTGGAGCATCGTTGAGTGGTTATTCAAGGAGTGTGAATTGCCAGGTTGAACATGAACATTCTGTGCACGTTCAGCTTATCAGTATGAACACCAAGGTCGTTTCTGCAGTGGTTCTGTAAGGACCATGATGTGTACGTGTGGGGACACTTGAAATAACTTTTACTGAAGCGCACAAAAGTGCTTAATCCACACGTGTACAGCTACATTATTACACGAGCAAATCCACGTAATCACCAGGCAAGAAAAAATACTACCAGAATACTCGATATCCCTTCTCGCCTTGTGCACACGACAAACCCGCCCCTACTCCCCACAGGTAACCAGTATCCTGACTAACAGCGTGGCTTGGGTTCTTGGTTTTCAAACTCTATAAAAATGGAACCAAACCAGGGGGTTGTTCTTTTGTGTCTGTCTGATTTTGTCCAGTATTTCTGAGAAATTGACCCTTATTATTTAGAGCATCTCTGAGTACATGCTCATGTGTGTTGTTTGCATATTCCACAATTATCGAAATAGCTTATGTCGATTTACATTTCACTTTTCAGTTTGGGGCTATTATAAATAGCGCTGCTATGGACACACTTTACATTTCTGATGGCACACAAGTGCGTGTATTTCTCTTGGGTGTGTGCCCCGGGACTGGAGTTCATGGGTCATTGGGTCCATATGTGTATTCTTTGTACATGATGCCAACTTTCCAGAGTGGTTGTGCAACTTTGTTTTGCAACAAGCTATTTTGTGATGATGTTAAAGTTGCCTGCCCTTTTCTTCCTGTGATTTATCTATTCCACGTATGACCCCTGTGGATGAGTTTTGTACATGCTTTCTCCCACTCTGGTGTGTCTCCAATGTGCTAAATAGGTGTACTTTCATGAAATGAGTTCTTAATTTTAATGTCCTCGAATTTTCATGAACAGCACTTTTCTGTTCCTGCGTAAGAAATATTTGCCTACCCAGAAGGCACGATGATATTCTACAGTTTCTTCTGCAAGTTGTTTTTTTGTTTGTTTGTTTCTGTTTTGTTTTTAGTATATACCTTTAGATCTACAGTCATGTGAGATTGATTTTTGTGTGTATGGTGTGAGGTAAGATTAAGTTTTATTTTTTCCATATTAACCCTGCATGATTTATATAAAAAGCACATCTTTGGAGTACCTGGGTGGCTTAGCCGACTCTTGATTTTCACAGCTCCAGTCATGATCTCAATGTTCATGAGTTCGAGCCCTGCATCAGGCTCTGCCGACAGCATGGAGCCTGCTTGGGATTCTCTCTCTCCCTCCCTGCCCTTCCCCTGCTCGTGAGTGTTCTCTCTCTCTCTCCCTCAAAATAAAAAATAGGTTGCCTGAGTGGCTCAGTCAGTTAAGCAGTGGACTGTTGATTTCAGCACAGGTCATGATCTTGAAGTTCATGAGACTGAGCCCCACATCAGGTGCCTTCCTGACAGTGTGCAAAGCCTGCTTCTGATTCTCTCTCCCTTTATCTCTGCCCGCCCTCCTCATGCTTTCTGTCTCTCAAGTAAATAAACATTAAAAAAAAATATGTCTTTGCCCCAGGAAGTTGAGATGTCACCTTTGTCTTTGTGTGTGTGTGTGTGTGTGTGTGTGTGTGTGTGTGTGTGTGTGTGTGAGTGAGCCCATGTGCACACATGCATGAGCAGGGAAGGGGCAGAGGAAGAGGAAAATAAAGAGGTTTTTTTCTTTTTTTTTTTAAAGATTTTTTTTTTTTTGAGAGAGAGCACAAGCAGAGGAGAGGCAAAGACAGAGAGAATCCAAAGCAGGCTCTGCACTGTCAGCGCAAAGCCTGACACAGAGCTTAAACCCATGAACCATGAGAACATGACCTGGGCTGAAGTTGGATACCCAACTGACTGAGCCACCCAGGCGCCCCAGGAGAGAGAGAATCTTAAACAGGCTTCATGCCCAACGTGGAGCCCAATGCAGGGCTTGATCTCATGACAGATCATGACCTGAGCTGACATCAAGAG